AAAAAATCGAAAATTAGCAAATCGAACTTTTCAATTTTCACACTTTTCAGTTTTTCACTATTTCGAGGTTATAATTTTACAATTTTTTTGTTTTTTCAATTTGTCGATTTTTTTATTTTTAAATTTTTCAATTATAAAGTTTTATGATTTTCAGTTTTTGCAATTTTTGGATTTTTCAATTTACTGATTTACGATATTTTACAGTTTTTCAATTTCGATTTTTCACTTTATTGATTTTTAATTTTTTAAATTTTCAGTTCCGAATTTTCAATTTTACGATATTCCAATTTTCAGATTTCTCAAGCGTCTATTTATTTTTTAATTTTTGGATTTATCAGTTATTCAATGATTCAATTTTTAAAAATTTCAATTTGAGTAAATTCATCTCATAATCACGAATCTGTGCTTGGTTGTGCTCTACGGTCCGAGGAGACGTCTGTCTTATCTATATATTCATCTATATCCATCTGTAGCTTTTCCCCCTTCTTCTATCTCCATCTGTATCCTTCTATATCTATCTATATCTTTTCTATATCCTTCTGTACCCTTCTCTATGGGTCCGAAGAGATATCTATCTCATTGAAAATATTTTCAGGATCTCGAATCTGTGCTTCTATATCGATATATATCCTTCGATGTCCATCTATATCTTTCTACATTTGTCTATATCATTCTATATTCGTCTATATCTTCTCCATATCGTTCCATTTACGTCTACATCCTTCTGTATCATTTTATATGTATCGATATTTTTGCTATATCCTTCAATATCCGTCTATATTCTTAAATAACCTTTTGTATCCCTCTATTTTTCTCTATATCCTTCTATTTCTATCTATATCCGACTATATTATTCTATATTCCTCTATATTCTTGTACATTCTACGTCTATCTTATCGGCAATATTCTCAGGAACACGAGTCTGTGTTTCTATATTCATCTATATCCTTCTATATAATTCTATATCTGTCTATCCTTCTAGATGGGTCCGGAAAGACATCAGTCTTATTGAAAATATTCTCAGGTTCGCAAATCTGTGCTTCTATATCTATCTATATTCTTCAATATCCGTATACATATATCCCTCTGTACCCTTCGACATGGGTCCGAAGAGATATCTATCTGATTGGAAATATAGCTGTCTATATCTTCTCCACATTCTTCCATTTCTGTCTACATTCTTCTGCATCATTCTATATCTGTCTATATCTTTGCTATATCCTTCAATATCCATCATATTTTATAATTTTCTGTGCCCCTTTATTTTGTTCTATATCCTTCTATTTCCATTTATATCCGAATATATTTTTCTATATTATTCTATATCCGTCTATATTCTTGTATATTCTACGTCTATTTAATCGGAAATTTTCTCAGGATTACGAATCTGTGCTTGTATGTATATTCTTCTATAAACGCCATCTTTCTATATACATATACCTAGATTCTTATGCATTTTTCTATATCTGTTTATATATTTCTATATCCGTCTATATCCTTCTATATTCTTTTTATATGCTTCTAAATCCTTCTACATGGGTGTGGAAAGACGTCTGTCTTATCGGAAATATTCTCATTGTCACGGATCTGTGGTTCTTTATCCATCTATTATATTCGTCTAAAACCTCCTATATCCTTCTATATAATTCTATATCTGTCTATATATCTGTCTATACCCTTCTACATGGGTCCGGAGAGACATCTATCTTATTGTAAATATTTTCAGGTAACGAATCAGGGCTTCTATATCCATCTGTATCTTTTCCATATTCTTCAATCTCCGTTTATATCCTTCTATATTTTTTCTATATCCTTCAATATCCGTCTATATTCTTGTGTATTCTTCTCCATGGATTCGAAGAGACATCTATCTATATATATCCTTCGATGTCGATCTATATCTTTCTACATCTGTCTATATCATCCTCTATTCGTCTATATCTGTCTATATCTTTTCCGTATCCTTCCATTTTCGTCTACATCCTTCTGTATCATCTTACATCTATCGATATCTTTGCTTTATCCTTCAATATCCGTCTATATTCTTCTATTTCCATCTATATCTGACTATATTATTTTATATTCGTCTATATTCATGTACATTCTACGTCTACCTATCGGAAATATTTTGAGGAACACGAGTCTGTGTCTATATTCATCTATATCCTTCGATATCAGTCTATATCCTTTTATATCCATCTATATCTTTCTATATCCACTTATGTCCTTCTGTATCCTTCTATATTAATCTATATTCTTCTATATCCCTCTATATTTTTTCTATATCAATCTAAATCCGTCAATATCCTTCTATACCCTTCTATATGGGTCCGGAGAGACATCAATCTTATTGGAAATATTCTCAGGATCACAAATCTGTACTTCTATATTCATCTATATTCTTCAATATACGTCTATAACCTTCTGTACCCTTCTACATGATTCCGAAAAGATATCTATCTCATTGGAAATATTATCAGAATCACGAATCTGTGCTTCTATTTCGGCATATATCCTTCGATGTCCATCTATATCCTTCTAAATCTGTTTATATCATTCTATATTCGTGTATATCCTTCTATAACCTTTTCTATCCTTTTAGTTTGTTCTATATCCTTCTATTTCCATTTATATCCGACTATATTTTCCTATATTATTCTATATCCGTCTATCTCCTTGTATTATATTCTACGTTTATCTTATCGGAAATTTTTTCAAGATCACGAATCTGTCCTTCTATATTCTTCTAATCTGTTTATATATATTTCTATATGCGTCTATATCCTTCTACATACATCATTCTCTCGAAAAATTGTAAAATTATAAAATTGAAAATGCCAAATATTCAAAAATTGGAAAATCGAAAAATTAAAAAATTGGAAATTTGTAAATTGAAAAGCTTATAAATCGAAAAATGGTATACATAATTGAAAAATCGTAAAATAGACAGAAAAGGTAACAATAGTGTGACAAGAAAATTCGTAAAAAGGGAGACAAAAAAGAGAAAAACAGGACAAAGCAATTCCGAAAAAAAATAGAACCACCAGTGATAAACAATAGGTCACAAAAAAGGCTGCAAAAAATCTCTGTAAAAAAGACGACCAAGAACACAAAAAAATGTGACAAAAAGACAATGAAAGAAAACAAAAATCAACAAAAAAGTGCCAAAAAATGTTGAAACACGAGGACAAGAAAAATCTATAAGAAATGAGTAAAGGGCCAGAAAAAAAGGTGGACAAGAAAAAAACGTGACAAAAAAATCCGACTAAAAATGGCAATAAACAATAAACAAAAGACAAAAAACGATAAACAAAATGCGGCAAAGAGCTACAAAAAGGCAACAAAAACAGAGGACAAAAAATCAACAAAAAAAACGACTACAAAATGACTACAAAAAGCAACAGAAATGTTACAAAAAAGGAAATAAAAATAGAAGTGTTATTTCAGGAGATTTAAACAACATTTACCACGCAAAATATTGGGATGACGTCATCAAGTTGTGTGTATGTTCCTAACATATATAAAAGCAAGCGGCCCGGTAGTTTTGGAGATTATCTATCTAATAAGAATTGACGCAGACGACAGATAGACGAAAACGGGATACCTATTTTTCACACTCTAGGGGTCATGAAACGACGAGAAAACATGAAAATAGCTTTTGATACAACAAAATTTTCAACCTTTAAAAAATCCTCGTCTTTGAAAACTGGTTCAGAGAAAGATTATTTCAAATTAGCACACAATAGTGTCATTGTAATGGACAATGCAGGCTACCACTGTCGACAAAACATAAAAGTCCAACCCAAATTAAGCACTAAAGGTGAAATTTCAACATCTTTATCAGAAAACAAGGCAATTATTGGCAGCAATTAACACAAAAGCTTCGAAAACAATAAGTTATTGCCGACCTTAGCGCTTTTTATGGACACACTGAGTCACATATTCCCCATAACAATACTCATTCAACATTTACTAAACAAGACTCGGCGTTGTAAACACACTTTCATCATTGACTTGCCAGAATCGTGGCCGGAATATGAAAATACGTTGAAAATTCTCAAGGAAAAATTCGCGCGACTTTTACATTTGTGTCAACACCAACAGTCAAGTGATTAAAATTTTTGATTCGTTTTGGTCCTTCGAGCCGGATCATCGGCGACTCGATTTGCACGCTACACCCGCAACACTCGGCTTTCATCAAACCGAAAGTGGGATGATTCACACAATGGCAAGGCGGAACCTCACTCAAACGGTCTCATTATCGTACCTGAACAGTTTTAGAAATCCGCGAATTTCGCATCGGCTAATTACGTGCGACGACACCGCAATTACGGTCATTTTCGGCACCGGGCGGTCATTTCCCGTTTTTCCCCGGTCGGAAAAGCCCCGGCTTGTTTGCGTCCGCGTCGGGGAATGTGCGGAATGTTTGTGCTTCCCATCGGCGCGTGTAAACACCCATCAGTCCGCCCCATCTCCTCTTTAAAAATGGCCGCTTCCCAAAAACTAACAGTACCATGGCGAAATCCCGCCGCCTAGCCTCTCGACCCAGTTAGCCTTGACTCAAGTTCAAACGCGTCCGTTGCCTACTCGAAATAATCAAAACCGAAAACAACGTATCGATTGTTGTCGTTGCATAACCTGCGCGCAATTAGGTTGCAAGGATTGGCCTGACGACATTTTAATGTGGGTATTAGCGGGCGCCCACGGGCCCAAAAACCGATCGATGCCTACCTGTAGGGTGGCGCTCTAATCCAATAAGAATCGACGTATCCGATTAGGGCCACTGCACGCACTGCTCACATGCACGCCACTGGTACCGATGGGCATGGGTTCTGGGTTCGCGATCGCGGACACTCTGACTCGCCACCGCGGGATTTCGACTCTACCTTTACCTGTTCGCGGCGGCTCGGCCGCGCGATGGTGGACGAGCCGCCGATTTAATTAGCTGGTACTGTTACGTAACGAAGGGGGCAGGGTAGGGCTGGGGCGGTGGTACTTACCAAGGCGGGCGCCGCTGCGTCTCTTCACCCGCAAGCATATCGTACGCGATCGGATGCACTGCAAAAACACACAAATTAGTATGGTAATTACAGACCAGAGAGATATTTTTATGAGAAAATTTAACTGGAACCACAATTACGGGAAAAACGATTGTGATAACACGCACTAGGTCATACTCTAAACAAGAAAACAAACGACGGATGCTGAGTAATTGCCGAGAAATGGTGATGAGGTAGAACACAAAAATATATGCATTGTCATGAAACGCTTATCGCCGGATCGTCTATACATATTTATTAGTACCATATGGGTTATAAGGAACTACAAGTACTACGCAGATCTAATATACGTAGCGAGATTTTCAAGTCTTTTACGCCATTGTCGTAGTCTTAAACCACCACTCTTACATCAAAGGCAAAAAAGTAAGCCCGCCCACCCACCCTATCTCTATTGTGATGAATTTTTTATGCACCGTGAACCAAGAGGGCGGAGATTAACTGCAAAATTCTTGTTCCTTTACAAGAAATTAAAAACATGTTTTTGAGTATAGTGTCGTTCAAAATATAAACCCCGCCCACCCACCCTATCTCAATACTGATGATTTTTTTCAATTTTATAGACTTAAAACACGTTTAAAATGGTAAATTTTTGTAAGAAAATACGGATTTTGCAATTAAGCTCCGCCCCTAGGTCTGCAAACGAATTAAAAATTCATCACAATTGAGAACTGAGATCGGGGCGGATATGGGTGGGGCCTAATCTTTGGCTTCATTTTTTTCTTAATATACATAGGTACATAGTACTATTTGAACAATGCGATACTCAAGAACTGGAAACATTGGAAAGGCAAGAAATCGAAAAGTCAAAAAATTGAAAAATCCGAAAATTGAAATATTTAAAAATAAGAACCAAAACACTAAAAACTCCCAAAACTGAAAAATCGAAAATAAGTAAAAATTTGAAAAATCGAAAAATCGAAATATTGAAAAATCCCCAAAGTGAAACATTGAAAAATATAAAAGTTTAAAATTTAAAAAATCGAAAAATTAAAACATCGCAAAATTGAATAATCGAAAAATTGAATGAGAAAATTGAAAAATCGAGAAGTCGAAAATTCAAAAAATCGAAATTCGAAATATATGACAAATCAAGAAGTTGAAGAATTTGAAAACCGAAATGTCCGGAAATCAAGAACTGGAAATATTGGAAAGTCGAGAAATCGAGAAATCGAAAAGTCAAAAATTTAGAAACTCCAAAAATCGAAAAAATCGTTTCTAAAAATCGAAGACTCGAAAAATTGGAAAACCGAAAATTTGATAAATCCCAAAATTGAAATATTTAAAAATTGAAAATCGAGACATTGAAAAATCGGGAAAATAAGAATCAAAACACTAAAAAATCCCAAAACTGGAACATCGAAAAATTAAGAAATCCCGAGTTGAAAAATCGAGAAATCGAAAAATTGAAAAATCGAAAATTCGAAAAAGTAAAAATATGGAAAATCGAAATATTGACAAATTCCCAAAGAAAAACATTGAAAAATAAAAAATGTCGAAAAATATAAAAGTCTAAAATTTAAAAATCGAAAAATTAAAAAATCGCAAAATTGAATAATCGAAAAATTGAAGAACCCAAATATTCAAAAAATCACAAGGAAAAAATTGAAAAATCTGGAAATCGGGAAATCGAAAATTCAAAAAATCGAAATATGTATTGACAAATCAAGAAGTTGGAGAATTGAAAAATCAAACAGTCCGTAAATCAAGAACCGAAAACACTGGAAAATAGAGAAATCGAAAAATCGAAAATTTAGAAAATCCGAAAATCGAGAAATTGGAATATCCAGAAATTGAAATTTTCCCGAAATTGAAGTGTTGAAAAATTGAGAAATCGAGAACCTGAAAAATCGAGAAATCTAAAAATCGGGGCAATAAGAATCAAAACACTAAAAAATCCCAGTAAACTGGAACATCGAAAAATTAAGAAATCCCGAGTTGAAAAATCGAGAAATCGAAAAACTGAAAAATCGAAAATAAAAATAATTAGAAATTTGGAAAATCGAAAAATCGAAATACTGAAAAATTCCCAAAGTGAAACATTGAAAAAGTAAAAATGTCGAAATATAGAAAAATCTAACATTTAAAAAATCGAAAAATTAAAACATCGCAAAATTGAATAATCGCAAAAATTGAAAAATCCAAATATTCAAAAATCACAATGAAAAAATTGAAAAATCGAGAAATCGAAAATTCAAAAAATCGAAAAATCAAAATGTCTATTGACAAATCAAGAAGTTGAAGAATTGAAAAACTGAAAAGTCCGTAAATCAAGAACTGGGAATATTGGAAAGTCGAGAAATCGAGAAATCGAAAAGTCGAAAATTTAGAAACTCCAAAAATCGAAAAAATCGTTTCTAAAAATTGAAGACTCGAAAAATTGGAAAATCGAAAATTTGATAAATCCCAAAACTGAAATATTTAAAAATTGAAAATGGAGACATTGAAAAATCTGGAAAATAAGAATCAAAATACTAAAAAATCCCAAAACTGAAGCATCGAAACATTAAGAAATCCCGAGTTGAAAAATTGAGAAATCGAAAAACTGAAAAATCGAAAATTCGAAAAAGTAAAAATATGGAAAATCGAAATATTGAAAAATTCCCAAAGAAAAACATTGAAAAATTAAAAATGTCGAAAAATATAAAAGTCGAAAAAATCGAAAAAATTAAAACATCGGAAAATTGAATAATCGAAAAATTGAAGAGTCCAAATATTAAAAAATCACAATGAAAAAATTGAAAAATCGGGAAATCGAAAATTCAAGAAATCGAAAAATCGAAATATGTATTGACAAATCAAGAAGTTGAAGAATTGAAAAACCGAAAAATCCGTAAATCAAAATCGAAAACATTGAAAAATCGAGAAATCGAAAAATCGAAAATTTAGAAAATCCGAATATCGAGAAATTGGAATCTCAAGAAATTGAAATTTTCCCGAAATTGAAATGTTGAAAAACTGAGAAATCGAGAACCTGAAAAATCGAGAAATCTAAGAATCGGGAAAATAAGAATCAAAACACTAAAAAATCCCAAAACTGAAATATCGAAAAATTAAGAAATCCCGAGTTGAAAAATCGGGAAATCGAAAAACTGAAAAATCGAAAATAAGTAAAAATTTGGAAAATCGAAAAATCGAAATATTGAAAAATTCCCAAAGTGAAACATTGAAAAATTAAAAATGTCGAAAAATATAAAAGTTTAAAACTTAAAAAATTGAAAAATTAAAACATCGCAAAATTGAATAATTGAAAAATTGAAGAATCCAAATATTCAAAAATCACAATGAAAAAATTGAAAAATCGAGAAATCGAAAATTCAAAAAATCGAAAAATCGAATTATGTTTTGACAAATCAAGAAGTTGAAGAATTGAAAAACCGAAAAGTCCGTAAATCAAGAACTGGAAACATTGGAAAGTCGAGAAATCGGGACATCGAAAAGTCAAAAATGTAAAAACTACAAAAATTGAAAAAATTTTTTCAAAAAATTGAAGACTCGAAAAACTGCAAATCGAGAAATTGAAAAATCGGGAAAATAAGAACCAAAACACTAAAAAATCACATCGAAAAATTAAGAAATCCCCAGTTGAAAAATTGAGAAATCGAAAAACTGAAAAGTCGAAAATAAGTAAAAATTTGGAAAATCGAAAAATCAAAATATTGAAAAATCACCAAAGTGAAACATTGAAAAACTAAAAATGTCGAAAAATAGAAAAATCTAACATTTAAAAAATCGAAAAAAACATCGCAAAATTGAATAATCGAAAAATTGAAAAATCCAAATATTAAAAAATCACAATGAAAAAACTGAAAAATAGAGAAATCGAAAATTCAAAAAATCGAAAAATCGAACTATGTTTTGACAAATCAAGAAGTTGAAGAACTGAAAAACCGAAAAATTGAAAAATCCCAAAATTGAAATATTTAAAAATTGAAAATCGAGAAATTGAAAAATCGGGAAAATAAGAATCAAAACACTGAAAAATCCCAAAACTGTTGAAAAATCGAGAAATCGAAAATAAGTAAAAATTTGAAAAATCGAAAAATCGAAATATTGAAAAATTCCCAAAGTGAAACATTGAAAAATTAAAAATGTCGAAAAATATGAAAGTTTAAAATTTAAAAAATTGAAAAATTAAAATATCGCAAATTTGAATAATCGCAAAAATTGAAGAATCCAAATATTAAAAAAATCACAATGAAAAAATTGAAAAATCCAGAAATCGAAAATTCAAAAAATCGAAAAATCGAAATATGTATTGACAAATCAAGAGGTTGAAGAATTTGAAAACCGAAAAGTCCGTAAATCAAGAACCGCAAACATTGGAAAATCCAAAAATTGAGAATTTAGAAAATCCGAAAAACGAGAAATTAAATAATCGAAAAATTGGAAAATCCAGAAATTGAATTTTTCCCAAAATTGAAATGTTGAAAAATTGAGAAATCGAAAACCTGAAAAATTGAGAAATCTAAAAATCGAACAATTTGAAAAATCGAAAACCTAGATGTCAAAAAATCGCAAAATCGAAAAATTGGAACATTGAAAATTGAAAAAGAACCAAAAAATTGGAGAGTCGAAAAACTGAAAACCAGAAAAATCGAAGAATTGAAAAATCATAAAACTGAAATATGTATCGGAAAATTGGAAAATCGAAAAATTGAAACATCAAAGAAAAACTAAAAAATGAAATGTCTTACATGGTAATTTCGTGTAGCGAAATAAGAACAATTTTACAATTAAATTCAGCTCCTTTGGCTCTGGACAATAAAAAAAATCATCACGATTGAGACAGAGTGGGTGGGCGGGGCTTATATTCTTTTTTCTTAATATACGTAGTCGTCTTTCCAGAACAAGAAACTTAAAACATGTTTATAATGGTAAATTTTTGTAGACAAAAATAAATATTGCAATTAAGCCCCGCCCCTCGATTTGACAACGAATGAAAAATTCATCACAATTGAGAATTGAGATCTTGGGCTTTATTTTTTTCTTAATATACGTTGTATTTTTTGAACAACACGATATGTACTCAAAAACATGTTTTTAATTTCTCGTACAAAAATAAGGATTTTGCAGTTAAGCTCCGCCTTCTTGACTCACGACGAATAAAAAAAATCATCACAATTGCGATAGGGTGGGTGGGCGGGGCTTATATTTTGCCATTTTTTTCATAATATGTGTAGGCTTATTTCGACAACAAGAAACATAAAACATGTCTGGATGGATTATTCTACATATAATTAAGAGTCATTTTCGTATAAATATCTTTCATTTCTCTGATATTCTCTGGTTTGATTGTGTTAGAATGCAATAAATGAAACGTCAACTTATGAATAAAAACGAACTGTAAGTACCCAGTGATTATTAATGTTTGTGATTTTCTTGTCAGGTTGGCAACATATTTAAAATTTTATAATGCCATAGCTGATGCAAAATTAAAATTTTGGGCACCCATTACAAGATTCAGAGTTCGGGTGTCTTTAATTGAGAATTCTAAAATATGACATTTTTTTATATTTTTGATTAAAAAATCTTCAGGTCTAAAAATATATAGGATGAGTTCTCGATATGGCGCTTTGTTGTGATATCAACTAAATCAAGTTTTAATGTACACAGAGTATTTATAAACAAGTGTAAAACTTTACAATTTTCAAATATCGGTATTTGAGTTTTTCAAATGGAACATCTTGTATTTTATTGCTCGATTTTTTGCATCACTCTTCTAATATGTTGATGTGTTGAATATAAAAAATAAAATATACTCAGCAAAAAAAAAAGAACAAAAAGCATAAGAAGCAGTAATAAAATATGGGGTGTTCTATTTGAAAACACTGAAATATCCATATGTGAAAATTGTAATAATTAAAATATTTTTGATAAACACCCCGTATATGAAAATTTGATTTTAATTTTTAAAGTAACCCTACTGACATTTTTTTGTGAACCCTTCTCATCTTACGAAAATTGGAATAACGTGGCAATGTCGCATCGCACTTTCAAAAATAAACTGTAGCTGTAAAACGTAAGAAGAAGTCAATTAAAATACGTAAAGATATATGGGGTGTTTCATTAAAAAAAACTATGTTGTGTGGTGCGCCTTAAAAATAGAACACCCTGTATATTGTCGTTATTATATTTTCAAACTGCAAAATTTGTTATTTCTAGAACCATTTATTTATTTTTCAGTATGAACGCCATCGACCCATTTTAAACCAAAATTTTGATATTCTTATTCTAATAAGATTTTTTTAGAACGAAAAATCATGTTTATGTTGGAACAAACTTTATTATAATCGAAATGTACAGGATGTCTCAGAAGTTTGGTGACCGAAAATGGCGCACTTTAATCGGGGGGGACACACAATTTAGAATTACTACCAATTATACAAATATTTTAAATGGGACATTCTACATACTTCCACAAAGTCAGATTCTTGTTGAAAAAAAAATAATGTCAGATATACAGGTTTTTGGATCAACATTATCGATAAATGGTTAATGATCTCTCAAATCAAATACGAAGTCAAGTTTGAACAATTTTGTCAAATTTTGACGTTTTAGAAACTTTGTAACCCTACTTTTTTAATTGACAGTAAAAAATACTTGACATAAATTAGACTACATCTTGTATTTTTTAAGGAATTCACAGTTTAGAAGTGCCACGAAATTTATAAAAAATACACTAAAACTAGAATAATATTTTTTTCAGCAAAATGTTAATATGACGTCATCACTTTTTTTTTGGTGGGGCATAAACGGACAAATTTTGATTAACTATATATTTACCATTCTTCAATCAAGTTCAATTGTAGAATGTTATACAATTTTAATTTTTTTCCCAAAAATCTGGATATCCAAGGTAAAAACTCAACACGGATTCATAAACCACATGTACCGACTATATTATTAAAAAAAATATATCTAAATATCGAATAAAATCGACACAGAGGACTGACAACAGACAGACAATCATACAGAACTGTTCTTACCCAGGAAAATTTTCAGGCATAAGTCGATTAAATAACTTGATCTGACCTGACCTGACCTGACCTACTTAACTCATTAAAATTTCTGGACATTCATTTTGATAAGTCATTTATACAGACAGACAGATGAAACATGAAAGTACAGAAAATGATGGAAGAAAAGAGGAAAAACTAAATAACTGGAAACAAAGACGAAAAAGTTAAATCACACAAATTGTATGAAGTTACGAGTGAAACGGAACTTTATGACAGAAATTAATGGTGTGGCTGGCCAAAGAAAAATAAACAACAAAAAATTCTCTATGACGATCAAAAGTCGGATGGAAATGTAGACCGAGAACAAAGCCGGGAATACGGGAAGATCTAAACTAGGAATTCCAGGAAGAACGAGAAGTTCACACCCGTACAGGACATAATAGCGCCCCGGTTCCCTTCAGTCTTCAATAATTCCTCATTCACAAAAGCAGCCACCTATCGAGTGTCGGGAGTTCCCGATATTTGAACACAAACATTCCCCAGAAAGTCATTCGTTTCTGTCAAATCTCATTAATAAAAGTATTTTTCGGAGTTGTCGAGTTTTTTCCACGAACGAACGCTCCGGTTTAAATAATAAATGAAAATTATGATCCCGCAACACGTAGAGGCCATAAAAGCGAAGTATGGCACAAGCCCCAGGTCCCTCGACTCACCTGGTGTATGTGACTGATGACTTCGGCGTGGCAAGCGTCTTCTAGCGTCTTCCCATTCACTTCCAAGATCTCGTCTCCCACTTCCAAGTTATCGTTATCTGCGGGTGAACCTGAAACCGAAAACGTCTTCACACCCCATCCATCCCTCACCCGTCCCATTACCATAAAGTTTGATTTTCTTATCCTTGGTTTCGGCTAGAATTATGACATACCCTCCTAGATCCACCATGATTCAGACGGCGAATCGTCTAAAACGTGAAACCGTCAGACAACCCCCAGAGCACCCCTCACCTACCTACGATCTCGTTAATCTAATTTTGAATATTCCTCATATCACAAATAAAGATACGTAGCATTGTGCGTAGCGGTAGGAAAACGACCCCGAAAACAACCCAACCCCAAAAAAAACGAAAAAGGCGAGATTCGAACCTCAGGTACTCGAAACGTATCGAAATTGGTTTAGGTAGTCCAAGTGCACGTAGTATTTCCACCATTTGAAACGTTTTCTCAGTCCCATCGCATTTATCCACGATTTACCGTCACTCGAAGTTGCCATTTTCGCACTACATATTCTGGACGTTTGGGGGCGAAAAGCGGTGGCGGTGAAGCGCGGCCCGAGTCATCATCGAACGAACACCACGGGTGTGGATTGAATCCCTCTGAGGAGAGGAACACTTCGAGATCAATAAGGTCCTTCCAGCTTCCAGCTATGCGCTCCTCCCCCGAGCCGCCCCCACCCGCCGCCGCAACCCGGAGCCGAACCGGTTCGCGACCCGGCTGCCGCCACATCGCGCGCCGCAAAACCCTCCCCGAACGCCAAATCCACCTCGACCGACTTTTATAATTCCCTCCTCGAGCGGCTAGCGTATTTCGAAAATTAAGGCGGCGCTGGAACTAAAACGGTGTCACAGTTGCGGCATTCAGGCAAGCTGCGCGCCTCCGCCGCACCACGAGAGGGGTAAAGTGCGGCGCGCCACCGCCAGATGGCACCACCCCACCGCCCGTATTTGTTTATTTTTACCCTCATAACCCACTCCCCCCACCTGTCAACGTCCCAATATCAGCTGTCTGTTCCGACAAGCGATTATTATGCGAAACGAAGACTTGTCTCGATAATGTCCATTGTTTGCGAAGAAGTGTTCGACGAAGCCAGTCACCCTTCGGCTGACGGTGAGTGTTTAATGCACGCCGAGGGTGTTTCACGCGTTAATGTCAACGGGGAGATCGGCCGGGGTTGAGGGTGCTCCGATCTTCCAGTTGGCGTTTTCGCCCCGAGACGCCGATTCGGAGCGGATGCCATTGATTTGCGAGTGTCCTTCGCACTCGTCCACACTGGCACCGACGAAAACCCGACCCGAGGGTCGAGTTCACAGTCGCAGGGTTCTCAAAGTCGCTTCTTTCGCAGAAATCCGCGACTATGCGGCCAAAATCGGCATCGATCCCGACGCGGAGCCCCAGTTGCTGCCCCTAGCTGCGGAGGGCCTGATGAAGGCTCTCCCCCCGGGCTGGAAACCTTGGTAAATACGGGTTTGTCTTGCGAGAGTCAAGGGACAAGCGAATTAATCAAAAGCACGTTGAGGGAAAGTTTGGAATCATAAAGGTCAGTTCGCACTAACCGAGGAACGGTGTGTCGGTAAAACCGATTCTGACTCAGCGTGCACAATACACATGTTTTCTTGAATAAATTATGCAAATAAAGGATAGAGAGGGACTTAGATTGGAGAGTAAAACGTTTTTTTCGCGGTTGCGGTTTTTGTGAGATTCGTAACTTATTTTTAAGAATTTTAGAATTTTAGTGTACCAGTTGTCCTTGACCAAAAAAAGAATTGAAAGAAATTTTTCAAACATTGCTACAAAATCGTGTTGCAATAAATATCGGGTAGACCTTTTGCACGACAAAGGTGGCTGTCGATTCAGTAGTACCAATCAAGTAAAAACTCAAATTCAAGTTGGCAACAATGAAGCTTTCAACTCAAGCACCACTGAGCACCACATTCGATCGAGCAGGTGCTCTATTTCCACATATGATGCAGAAGTATTTTTATATTAATTAATTTTATAGGTAACTTTTTTTTAGTTAATTTTATTTTTGTTAAAAATTAACTACCAATAATTAACTAAGTGCAATTCTGCAGTTATTTATTCAAAAAAAAAATGGACAAAATGAGTTAATCAGGTCCTCATAGATCAATGAACAACAATGGGAATAAGATGAATATTTGTCCAGTTTATCATTACTATTTTTTTTTTAATAAAATTGTACTACTGAATCGGCGGTCATCTTAGTCGCGCACAAAGTCTGTTAAAAGAATAATCAAGTTGGCCTTGATTTTTCGTAAACATTGTGAAGTATGTCTACATTTTCAGTTGAACACCCGTTATATCTTTTAAATGCCCCTATTTTGAAGCTGAACTGTCTAGATTTTTTTTAATAGTGCCATAATTAAATAAATATAAATAAAATTGAATTGAAGTGCGATTTTCGAAATCACAACAATGAGACTAAAAATTTACCATCCTGTATACAAGATGTTCTTGTGGTGTCTGTCGAAAAAAGTTTAAAAATTCGAAAAACCACGTACGAAAATTGACGAATTTCAAAAAATTCCAAAATTTCACAAATTTGCGGCAATGTTTAAAAATTTTGGAAAAATGTAGAAGGTTGTAGGTCTCCTTTGAAAAGGCGTGGAGGGGATGAACAGTGTTGCCACACTAATAAAATCTAAGGTACCAAAACAATATCTGCAACGTAGAAAATTTGAATATGATCACGACTTTTTTGATGAATTTCGCGCACTCACCATTTATACTTTTTGTTGTCATGGTAACTTTAAAGTAGATCAACATTGTGACGTGATTGCAACGTTGCCAACATGTCGTTATAAATAACTCAAGTTAATTTTTTAATTTATAAAATTTATTCGTTTCACAAAATATTGTACATACACTAGTTGCGTAAATTACAAAGTTCTAAAATACAATTGCAATCAGAAAATCTTACACGTCACAAAAATTTTTTATGTCTTACTCTTTTATCATTGGTCTATAACGGCTTGAATTTGAGAAAACTCAGTTTAAAAATTCCAAGAAACCCAAAAAGTTCTCAAACTCAGGAAATCTAAAAATTCAAAAAATCAGAAAGTAAAAACCAAAAAAATTTAATAAAACCAAAATAATCCAAAAAAACGAATCCAAAAAATTCTTAGAAAATCCAAGGGATCCAAGGAGCTCCAGGAAATCCAAACGGTTTGTGTAAAAAAAGTTTTAATTATTACAACATCGATATATCAGTTTTTTCAAATAAGATACCCTACATTTTATTCTATTTTTTGTTTTCTTCATTTCTACAGTATGTTCCATATTTAATGTTGATAGTTACTACGACTTCTTACTTTTCTACGAGATATATCGATATATTCGAAGAATGAGGACAAAAATAGTTCCATTTGAAAAAACTGAAATATCGATATTTGAAAATTGTGAAATATTACATTTTTTTTAAACACTCTGTATATTACAATTTGATTTAGTTGATACCACAACAAAGGGCGCACCTTTATTTGTTACAGAAAATATTGTAAGACACACTTTAAAAATAACCCTACTGCGAGTTTTTTGTGAACCCTTCCATTGCCAAAAAATTTTAAGAAAATTGGAATATGATGGCAACGTCATATGGGAATTTCAAAAGTAATCTGTAGTTGTAAAGGCTAAGAAGAGCTCAATCTAAATATCTAAAAATATATAAGGTATTTCATTAAAAAAAACCAAGGCATGTGTTACACTTTAAAAACAGAACACTCTGTACAGTTAAAAAACTATTATATTGCTTATTAAAAAGGAGAAAAGGTTTTTTTTGGTCAAAAAAATTTAAAAAAATGTCAGAATTCAGAATTCTTAATTGCGCCATGTTTAAAGATGGCGGGGCTGTGAATTTTTAAATATGAGCACTTTTTTCCATAGAAGTAAGAATATCTCGAAAGTGATACTCTGTTTATTACTAAATGAATGTAGTTTAGGTGATCATTCTGTTCACTTTGTAAATATTTTTTCGATAATAATAAAATTTGAGGGAACATTAATATGATTTTTCGCACTAAAAAAAAAATTCTTAGAATATCAAAATTTTCTTTTTGGGTGTCGTCCCCAGTGAACGTGATATTCTTATTGTAAAAAGAATGTGAAACCTAGGAGGGCCCAATTGTCTTTTTTAAAAATGTAAAAACTCCTCGGGGGCGTCAAATCTTTTTTTTTTAGAATGTGAAACCTTCTTGGGGGTCCCAACTGTCTTTTTTTTTTTAATGAAAAACCTCGGAGGCCCCAAATGGTTTTTTTTATGAAAAACCTTCTCGGGGGTCCCTACTGTCTTTTTTAAAAATGTAAAACCTTTTCGGGGGCGCCAAATGTTTTTTTTTTAACAATGGGAAACCTTCTCGGGGGTCTCAACTGTCTCGTGAAACCTTTTCAGGGACGCCAAATGTTTTTTTTAATAATGTGAAACCTTCTCGGGGGTCCTAACTGTCTTGTTTTAACAATGGGAAACCTTCTCAGGAGTCCTAAGTGTCTTTTTTTTTAATGTGAAACCTTCTCAGGGGCGCCAAATGTTTTTTTTAACAATGGGAAAACTTCTCGGGGGTCCTAACTGTCTTATTTTAACAATGGGAAACCTTCTCAGAAGTCCCAAGTGTCTTTTTTTTAATGTGAAACCTTTTCAGGGGCGCCAAATGTTTTTTTTAATAATGTGAAACCTTCTCGGGGGTCCTAACTGTCTTGTTTTAACAATGGGAAACCTTCTCAGGAGTCCTAAGTGTCTTTTTTTTTAATGTGAAACCTTCTCAGGGGCGCCAAATGTTTTTTTTAACAATGGGAAAACTTCTCGGGGGTCCTAACTGTCTTATTTTAACAATGGGAAACCTTCTCAGAAGTCCCAAGTGTCTTTTTTTTAATGTGAAACCTTTTCAGGGGCGCCAAATGTTTTTTTTAATAATGTGAAACCTTCTCGGGGGTCCTAACTGTCTTGTTTTAACAATGGGAAACCTTCTCAGGAGTCCTAAGTGTCTTTTTTTTTTAATGTGAAACCTTCTCAGGGGCGCCAAATGTTTTTTTTTGCAATGAGAAACCTTCTCAGGGGTCCCAAGTGCCTTTTTTGAAAATGTAAAACCTTATCGGGAGCGCCAAATGTTTTTTTTTTTTAATAATGTGAAACCTTCTCAGGGGCGCCAAATGGTTTTTTTTTAACAATGGGAAACCTTCTCGGGGGTCCCAAGTGTCTTTTTTTGAAAATGTAAAACCTTCTCGGGGATGCCAAATGATTTTTTTTAATAATGTCAAACCTTCTCGGAGGTCCTAACTGTCTTATTTTAACAATGGGAAACCTTCTCAGGAGTCCTAAGTGTCTTTTTTTTAATGTGAAACCTTCTCAGGGGCGCCAAATGTGTTTTTTAATAATGTGAAACCTTCTCGGGGGTCCTAACTGTCTTGTTTTAACAATGGGAAACCTTCTCAGGAGTCCTAAGTGTCTTTTTTTTAATGTGAAACCTTTTCAGGGGCGCCAAATGTTTTTTTTAATAATGTGAAACCTTCTCGGGGGTCCTAACTGTCTTGTTTTAACAATGGGAAACCTTCTCAGGAGTCCTAAGTGTCTTTTTTTTTTAATGTGAAACCTTCTCAGGGGCGCCAAATGTTTTTTTTTTGCAATGAGAAACCTTCTCAGGGGTCCCAAGTGCCTTTTTTGAAAATGTAAAACCTTATCGGGAGCGCCAAATGTTTTTTTTTTTAATAATGTGAAACCTTCTCAGGGGCGCCAAATGGTTTTTTTTTAACAATGGGAAACCTTCTCGGGGGTCCCAAGTGTCTTTTTTTGAAAATGTAAAACCTTCTCGGGGATGCCAAATGATTTTTTTTAATAATGTCAAACCTTCTCGGAGGTCCTAACTGTCTTATTTTAACAATGGGAAACCTTCTCAGGAGTCCTAAGTGTCTTTTTTTTAATGTGAAACCTTCTCAGGGGCGCCAAATGTGTTTTTTAATAATGTGAAACCTTCTCGGGGGTCCTAACTGTCTTGTTTTAACAATGGGAAACCTTCTCAGGAGTCCTAAGTGTCTTTTTTTTAATGTGAAACCTTCTCAGGGGCGCCAAATGTTTTTTTTTTAATAATGTGAAGCCTTCTCGGGGGTCCTAACTGTCTTGTTTTAACAATGGGAAACCTTCTCAGGAGTCCCAAGTGTCTTTTTTTTAATGTGAAACCTTCTCAGGGGCGCCAAATGTTTTTTTTTAACAATGGGAAACCTTCTCGGGGGTCTCAACTGTCTTGTTTTAATAATGGGAAACCTTCTCGGGGGTCCCAAGTGTCGTTTTTTGAAAATGTAAAACCTTCTCGGGGATGCCAAATGTTTTTTTTTAATAATGTGAAACCTTCTCGGGGGTCCTAACTGTCTTATTTTAACAATGGGAAACCTTCTCGGGAGTCCCAAGTGTCTTTTTTTTAATGTGAAACCTTCTCAGGGGCGCCAAATGTTTTTTTTTAACAATGGGAAACCTTCTCGGGGGTCTCAACTGTCTTGTTTTAATAATGGGAAACCTTCTCGGGGGTCCCAAGTGTCTTTTTTTTATGTAAAACCTTCTCCGGGGTTCCAAAAAATGTCTTTTTTTTTGTGAAACCTTCTCAGGGGTCCCAACTGTCTTTTTTAAAAATGGAAAACCTTCTCGGGGGCGCCAATCGTTTTTTTTTTTTTTTAATAATGTGAAACCTTCTCTGGGGTCCCAATTGTCTGTTTTAAAAATGTAAAAACTCCTCGGGGGCATCAAATCTGTTTTTTAGAATGTGAAACCTTCTTGAGGGTCCCAACTATCAATCGACCAAAAAGAATTTGACATTTCTCAGTACTATATCTAATTTAATGTTTTTTGTTAATTCGCCCAAGTGCGATTTTCGAAATCACAACAAAGACACTAAAAAATTACCACCCTGTATACAAGATGTTCTTATGGTGTGGTGGCATTTCTCGTGAACTGTTGAAAAATTTTAAAAAATCGCAAGAACCAAGTACGAAAATTGACGAATTTAAAAAAATTCCAAAATTTCACAAATTGGTGGCAATGTTTAAAAATTTTGGAAAAATGTAGAAGATTGTTGGTCTCCTTAAAGGGGTTAGACTGGGAGGTGGTGTGACGTTGCAGCATTGCCAACATGTCGTTCAAATAAATAACTCAAGTTAATCTTTTAGTTTATAAAATTTATTCGTTTCAAAAAATTTTGTACAAACTGTAAAATACAATCGCAACCAGAAAATTTTCGACATCACGAAAGATTTTTATGTCTTACTCTTTTATTATTGGGTTATAATGGCTTGAATTTAAGGTACCTTATTGATTATAGTAACGTCAACTGAAAACTCAATTTAAAAAATGCAAGAAACCCAAAAAGCTCAAGAACTCAAGAAAACTAATAAATCCAAAAATCACAAAAAAATCGAAATTTTTCAAAAAAAGTCCAAAAAACAAAGTAAAAAAACTAAAAAAACATCAAAAAATCGAATAAATCCAAAATAATCCAAAAAGTCCAAGGAGCTCCAGGAAATCCAAGCGGTTTGGGAGTTGAGTGGGGGTTCTGTTTCTGGTGGTCGGTTTTTTGTTGTGATAGAAAAAAGAAAAAAATGTTTTAATTATTACAATTTTCAATAATCTATATTTTATTTTTTTTCAAATAGAATACCCTATATTTCATTACTGTATACTGTTATATATTTTTTTAAAAACACTCTGTATATTATAATTTGATTTAGTTGATACCACAACAAAGGGCGCACCTTTATTTATTCCAGAAAATATTGTACGACAGATTTTAAAAATAACCCTACTGCGATTTTTTTGTGAACCCTTCCATTGCCAAAAAATCAAGAAAATTGGAATATGGTGGCAACATCATATGGGGATTTCAAAACTAATCTGTAGTTGTAAAGGCTAAGAAGAGCTCAATCTAAATATCTAAAAATGTATAAGGTATTTCATTAAAAAAACCAAGCCATGTGTTACACTTTAAAAACAGAATACTCTGTACCTATAGTTAAAAAAAAATATTATATTGCTTATTAAAAAGGAGAAAAGGTTTTTTTGGTCAATTAAATTAAAAAAAAAAAGGTCATGGTTCAGAATTCTCAACTCCGCCATGTTTAAAGATGGCGGGCTGCGCATTTTTAAATATGACCACTTTTTTTCATAAAAATAAGAATATCTCGAAATTGTTGACCAAAAAACTAGGCTGTCCCATTTAAAATAAACGTTAGTGTGTAAGCGCCAAATTGTTGGGATACTCTGTATATTACTAAATGAATGTAGTTTAGGTGATCATTCCTAGTTTGAATTCTGTTCACTTGGTAAATATTTTTTCGATTATAATAAAATTTGTTCGAACATTAATAATGACATTTCGCACTAAAGAAAATTCTTAGAATCAAAATTTTGTTTTTGGATGTCGTCCCCAGTGAATGTGACATTACCTTATCGTAAAAAATTTTAAGAGTTAGACTAATTTAATAATAATATATGAAACCTAGGGGATCCCAATTGTCTTTTTTAAAAATATAAAAACTCCTCGGGGGCGCCAAATGTTTATTTTTTTAGAATGCGAAACCTTCTTGGGGGTCCCAAATGTCGTCTTTTTTAAAAATGAAAAACCTCGGAGGCTCCAAATATTTTTTTTTTAATGAGAAACCTTCTTGGGAGCCCCAAATATCTCCTTTTTTGTGTGAAACCTTCTCGGGGGTCCCAACTGTTGTTTTTTTTTTTTAATGTAAAACCTTCTCGGGGGCGCCAACTGTCTTGTTTTAACAATGGGAAACCTTCTCGGGGGTCCCAAGTGTCTTTTTTTGAAAATGTAAAACCTTCTCGAGGGCGCCAAAAGTTTTTTTTTAACAATGGGAAACCTTCTCGGGGTCCCAACTGTCTTTTTTTGAAGATGTAAAACCTTCTCGGGGCGCCAAGTTTTTTTTTAACAATGGGAAACCTTCTCGGGGGTCCCAAGTGTCTTTTTTTTAATATTAAATCTTCTCGAGGCTCCCAACTGTCTTTTTTTTTTTTCTATTACACTCTGACTAGTACCTTTTATCTATATTGATTTACTCCATAAAGTTTATCACAAAAAAATAAAATTCCGTAGAATCAAATTTTATAATTTTTCATAGAACCAGTATTTGTTGGATTGTACTTCAGAAGCGAGGAAAGTTCTGTCGAAATACCTTTCGACCAGTTTTTTTTTAACATATTTACTTTTCTTTCAACAACATCATACTTAAATCAAATGGTTTCCTTTAGAGAAATAAGCATTTTGCAATTAAGCTCCGCCCCTCGACTTACGACGAATAAGAAAATTCATCACAATTGAGATGAGGGCGGGTGGGCGGGCTTTATATTTTGCCTTTGTTTTCTTATATGTACGTACTTTTCTGTTCACAACAAGAAACTGAAAACTTATTTAAAATGGTAAATTTGTAAAGAAGTGTACCAACAACAAAAATAAAATAACAAAAAATGTTCTTTTTATTTACAATAAAATCAAAATTTTGGTTTAAAAAAGGTCGATGGCGTCAACACTGAAAAATAAATAAATGCTTCTAAAAATATCGAATTTTACATTTTAAAAACACAATTCTGAAAACATGTCTAGAGCTTTGGTCGCCCTGACTCTCTCGCTGCGCCTAATCATTCACTAACCCCCTTTTTCCAGCTACGACGACAAATCCAAATCCTACTACTACTACAACAACCTCACCGGCAAAACCCAATGGGAGCACCCCCTCGACGACGTCTACCGCGGCCTAGTCAAGAAAGTCCGCGCCGAGAGCCAATCCCTCAGCCTCGGCGAGCCCACCGAGGACGCCACCTACGCCCGCGACGAGATCCCCAGCTTCGAGGAGCCCCCCAAAGTCGACCCTCTACACAAACGCGACCTCAAACTCTCCCCCCTCAAGACCAGCCCCAAGCACGAGCCCAAACTCCTCAAGCAGCGCTCCGACGACCAGATCCTCTCCAACCGGAAAATCACCCTCAACATCTTCAGCAGCTTCGACGAGAAAAGCGCCTTCGACAAGCACCCGCGCGCTTTAGATAAACCCGAGCTGAAGATAAGCGGCGGCGGCGCCATGTTCCTCAAGTCCAACACCAAGAAGATGGTGGACTCGACACCAAGCCCGGCGAAGAGTGAAACGTTGGATGTCAACCAACCCAGAAGTATTCTGCGGGAGCGCAACTCCCTGGAGGTGTCCAGGAGCATGGACTTCGACAAGATCTCGCTAGACAAGTCGGAGAAGGACGACGACGACAAGAAGAGTGTGCGGTTTAATCTTGACACGAACACGGATGTGGCATTCACGTTTTCGGATAAGTCGAGCTCGAGCGACGACGAAGAAATCGAAGAGAATATTATCAATGTGAAGATGACTCCGACGAAGAAGTCGAGGTTTACGGTGTCGCCAGTGAAGGAGTTTCAACCGGAAACGGAGAAGAAATTGATTAAGCCGAACCCGACGGACTTTATTAAGCCGAAACTCACGATTAGTAAAGGCTCGGACTCCGAAGACGACTCTGTTATTAAAAGCATCGAACGAAGAGATAGTGAGGGGTCGGAAGATAGCCCTCTGCACACCAAGATGTTGATGAAAACGAAGAAACTGGAAGAAAAAGCGGAGAAGAAGATGGCACAACTCAAACAAAATATCTGGGAGGAGAAAAACGACGAACTCGTCAAGTTTAAAGACGACTTGCAAGAGTCACAAAAGGGGGAGTTGGAGAGGATTTTAATCAACGCGAAAACTGATCACGAAGAGAAAATTAAAGCAGAATTGGAGAATATTAGGATCGAGATGGAGAACAGAAACACCGGGACGTTGAAGGAAGAAAAATTAAAGTACGACGAGATGTTGGAGGGGCTTAAAAGCAAACTCCAGGAGGAGTTTGAGGTGGGGGAGCGCGAACTGAAGGAGAAGTTTGAAACGAAGAAGGAAGAAATCGAGAAGTACTACGAGGAGAAGTTAGCCGAAATCGAGAAAGAGCTCGCCGAACGAATGGAGAAGAATCGAGACGAGATGATCACCACCCATAATTCCAACGTGGAACAGCTGAAGCAAAACCACTCCATCATCATCGAAGAACTCAAAAAAGAGTTCAAGGTCGAAGAAGACGCCCTTCGAAAAGAACACAAATCCGTGATTGCCGAACTCAAGACCAAGATTGAAGCAGAAGCGGAGAAGAAAGACGACAAGTACGAGAAAATCCGCTGCGAGAAACGTCTACTAGAAGACAAATATCGTTGTTTGAAGGACAAGTATTTGAGATTGAAGACGGAGGTGAAGATGTCTATTGAGAAGCGAAACAAACGTAGGGAGCAAGGGGGCGCCACTACCACCACGGGTTCGGAAACCGAACGCAGCCACTCTAATAACAAAGACAGGTTGGTATTGTCTCCCTCTCGTCGTTTATTCAACCCCTTTTTCAGGACGCCTCTGAACTCGCCGTTGCGTAAACCCCCTCGTTCCGACCCTCCGAAACTCAAGCCCGAGCATCGAACCACCCGCCAGCTCATAATCCAGGACCTGGACACTTCGATTAGCGATCGCAGCGAAAATAAGTGCAACAAAGAGTACGATTCGTCCGATAACAGCACGAATCCGGGTCGCAGCCGGAAAAAAATCTTCTCGCGTTTAAAAAGTTCGTCGACTTCTAGGATCAATAACAACGCGAAGTCGCGCCGGAATCAGAGGTCTTGTTCGCCCGTGGAGAATTTGCGGCGGCAGCTGCAGAAGCTCGAGGATTTGGAAGACCAGTTCCCGCAGAACCCGCAAGCTGACACGTATCACCTAAGGTATCCGTTTTCGGACGGGCAAAAGTTCGAAGGGAGTTCAGAGTTAGAATTTTTCCGACATAGGATTCACCTGGAGCGGGACTCGATCAAACGGGCGAAAGAAAGCTTGAGGAATCAGAAGTCGTTGTTCCAGCAGAGACAAAAGGAGTTGAAGTTGAAGCACGGCTCGATGGCTAGACACACGTTGCAGCAGTTGTGTCAGGTAAAACTGCCCCAGTAACATTTTATATGTAATAAATATTGAAGTTCTGACATTTAAATAATATGGGTAACGACAGATTTTTTTTTAGAAAATCAATATTGGTTTTAAATATTGAATATATATTTATTTTCAATGTTTCATACTTATTTAGTTAAATGTTCTTCATGTGAAAGGGGTTATGGATATAAAAAAAACTTGTATGGAATACAATATAAAATTTATTAAACACAAAAATACATTGTCACTGGAAATAACAGTGTATTTGAAACGTTGCGGCAATATTAATAATAATAATAATAATAATAAGTTTATTGCCCAACAGTTCAAGCGAACCAATTACAGAGCAATGAATGAATATAACCTAATAACCTAATATTATTCTAGAGTGACAAGAAAAAAAAAAAAAACAGAAAACCGAAACTATAAACTACACTTTCCATGAAGGTTAAATAAAAGTATGTGTGCTTATATATAAATGAATAACAGAACAAAAGAAATAACAAACCAACTTTAAATAATAATAATAGTAAAAACAGTATTTGACACAAATTCAAATTAGTAGAAACAACAACTAATAGGTGTAATAATTTAATTAACTACTATTAAAATAAAAAGCTATTACCTTCATTTTGAATTGTTTGAAGCTGTGTGAAAAGATATCCAAAGCCTTAAAGTTCTTATTAAAAAGGAAACACATTATATTTAAAGGTGATTTCATTAAAATATTTGTACGGGCTAAAGGCACATAAAAAGGCAAATCACTTCTGCAATTTAAGCGTGGAACATGAAAGCAAATTTTTCCCAATAACTCGGCACAATCAATCCTTGAATGAATTAATTTAAAGAAAAATAAAGTAATGGCAACTTCTCTTCTGCTAACTAATGATAACATGTTGAATTCACTTAGCAGCAAAGCATTATCAATTCCTCTATCAGGATAAGTACCGTATTTTCTAAACCATACGTATTTCATGAATTTTCTTTGAATGGACTCAATGACATTTATGTAGCATTGATATAATGGATTCCAAATCAGACAACCATACATCAAACATGAGATAACATATGCCTCGAATAATATCTTAATAGTATTTAAATTATTGAAGTTTTTACATTGCCTTATTATAAACCCAAGTAAAGAAAACGAACGTGCAACAATATTGTTGATATGGCATTGAAATGTAAGTTCTGAATCAAATGTGATTCCCAGATCTTTTATGACATTACATCGAGGTATGATTTCGTTATTGACTGAATAATCAAATTTGTGTAATGTTTTCTTACGAGTAAATGATATGACTTTACATTTAGTGACATTCAGGGTAATTTTATTTAAGGAACACCAATTGTTGAATTGATTCATATCACTTTGAAGCTGATGTGCATCCTCAGTTGTTCTAATAATGTGATATATTTTAGCATCATCTGCGTATATTAATGATTGACTCTTGAAAATGGTAGGCAAATCATTCACAAATAAAATGAAAAGTAGCGGACCAAGATTAGCTCCTTGTGGAACTCCTGATGTGACATCATAGATATGAGAAGAGTGACCATTATAAAAAACATATTGCGATCTGTCTGATAAATATGAGCGAAGTAAATTGAAAATATTGCCACAGAGACCATATACCTGAAGTTTAGATAATAACATTAAGTGATCAAGGCGATCAAAAGCTTTCGCAAAATCTGTATAAATGACGTCTACTTGGGACCCATTATCAATAGCTTCTGTCAGAAATTGGGAAAAACAAGCTAAATTGGTTATCGTTGAGCGCCCATCAACAAATCCATGCTGCTGCGGAGAGATATATTTTCGAACATGAGGATAGATAAACGAATACAGAACAACTTCAAAAACTTTTGAAAAGTTATTTATTATTGATATAGGACGGTATTTATCTATTTCAGCATTATTACCTGATTTGAAGATTGGTGTGACTTTAGAGGTCTTCCACTTTTTTGGGAATGTACCAGTAGTAAGGGCAACATTAAAAATTGCTAATAAAGGTTGAACAAAAATATTTTTACAATCGTGTATCACAAAACCTGGGATTTGGTCAGGCCCAGCAGTAAAAGAATTTTTGATTTTATTGAAAGCAACTAAAACGTCATTGTGAGTAATGCTGGATATAGATAAAGAAAGATAATCAGATGAAGGCACTGGAAAATCTGTTGAATTCTGAGAACAAACATAGGACGACTGAAAAAATGTGGCAAATGCGTTGACAATGTCTTCTGGAGAATTTAAAGAAACGTTATTAAAAGTCATTTTTCCGGGTATGCGTGTTTGACCTTTCATTGATATTACATACGACCAGAATTTTTTTGGGTCCTGGGATAGATTATTTTGAATGGAATTCAGATATTCTTTATAAGCTAGAGATATTTGATTTTTAGTAATAGTACGATAATGTTTAAATTTGACGTAATAGGAGCTATCATTAGTTTGCTTATATTTATTATGATAATAACCTTTTAATTTAATGTTACTGATAATCACAGAATTGAACCATGGCGGAAACTGAATCTTATTGAATTTATTTGGATAAATTGGGACATGCTTATCAAAAATATGATATAGGGCGTTATAAAATTGATCTACCATACTATCAACATCAACACAATTATTTAGAAAGGACCAATCTATATTTAATAATTCTTGATATAAAGAAGGATAATCAGCTCTCTTAAAATTGTATAGTTTTACACCATTTGGTCTAGTGGAAGGGAAGTTACTAAAGTTGTCAACAGTGAAGTCAATCAAAATCGAAAGAGCCGGGTGATGGGTGTCTTCCGCAACCACAGGACTGCAATCATGTTCAACCCGACAATGGACATTGGAAAATACAAGATCCAGTAATTTGTTTGAGGCGTTTTTCACACAATTATATTGAATAAAATTCATAAAACTACAAAAATTATTGAGGGTATGTACCAAGATATTGTCATTATTTTGAATAAATTGGGGGATGTTAAAGTCTCCTAAGATCAAAATATTATCTTCTTTGTTGAAAAACTCCTCAAAAAAGTTACAAAATATCATCAAATCATCACATGTTGGAGTTCTTGAGAAATATACAACAAATACATAAAATATCGAATTTTTAAGCCAACATTTACATCCTACAATTTCAATTATGTCTATATTCTTACGTAATTGAGATAAGTCAACAACTTCGGCAATTACGTGAGATCGCAGTGCTAAAAGGACACCACCACCTCTAGATATATTTAACTCTTGATAATTACGATCGTTTCTAAAGATATTATACAGGTGAGAAGAAACAATTTCAGAATTTGAGATAGAACTACATAACCAAGTCTCAGATATGGCGATGATGTCATAACTTAAATCTAACGTGGCATTAAAAAATTCATTTGATTTATTATACATATATTTATACATTTAAAAATTATTTGTCCTAGAACCAATTCGTTGAAAATTTATACCAGGTGATTTTTTTTTTAATTTCTGCTGTAGTTATCCATGACACTTATGTCAGCAGTGAAACTGAAACTGCTGACATAAGCTTCATGGGCAACCAGAGCATAAATTTAAAAAATCACCTGATGTGAAACACAATATAAATTTTTTAAACATAAAAATACACTGCCAACTTACAATGAAATAATAATAAAGATACATTGTCAATGGAAATAACAATGTTCTGCTATATTTCAATCGTTATACAGAAATATTTATTTAATAATTATTCGCTCTATATCCAATTCATTGAAAAGCGATATAATTAATTAAAATAAAAAAAAATCACACCTCATGTTTTTTTCGACGAGAATTCATTCTTGCTTTTGTCTGCGCTACATAAGGTCCTACCATTTTTTAAATTTCAGTAGTTGTGGCGTTTTTGTGACGTTTCCGTGTGACACCTACGATTAAATTAACTTACAAAGTTCGTAATTTTTAAGAAATCACATAACTTTACATATTGTAGCTTTGTTAATTGTGAGTTCACTAAAAGAGAGCTTATTTTTTTCCTTGCCCTGAAAACTTGAAAGCAATTTGGTTCATTATTAATAATTTCTTCAAAATTGCATACATGTTTTTTTACGTATTCTCTTCCTAGCAAATAAGGATTATTATCAGTCTGAAACTAGTTTAGAAATACTAGGAGTTAATAATAGTAATAATAAATGCTTACCAATTCATCCAATTTCTGCGTATCTCCCGCAATTTCTAACTCGATTTCTTCTTTTTTATTGGTTGCGCCCGGACATTCATCATTTTGTCTCTACATTCATAATATGCTTATATTCAGAAATATCTAAACCTCTTAAATATACTTACGTGTTGAGAAAGTGCATTTTCTGTGTTTACTACACTATTCTGAATTTATCGCAGTACCGATAATCACAATTCACAATAGGACAAACACCATGAACTTACACAAAATACTTTTTGAACCACCAACAATAACAGAAAATATGTATATGTTGCACATTGCGCAAACGCGTTCCAGCAGAGCAAGCGCATCTGTAGGTGAAACGCAAATTTAAGTAAGTTTTATAAAAATGATGAACAAAATTGTTATTTTTTTGTTCGCAAAAATAAAAAAATATTACTTTTTAATGAGCAATTAATAGTATGCAAAGCGAGATTTCGAATAGTGTCAATTTCACAATTGTTGGTATTTTTTCAAATCAATTCTTAATATTGCTCCAATAAAACCCTATGAAATAAATTACCTACAAGTTGTATCTTGATAAAAAGACATTTCATAAATATGTAATATATGTTGAAATTCATATATAAATTTATAAATGTAACATGAATATTATATAAATATTTGTAATATCTAGTCAACATTTAATATTATATCAATCTTGTATAAATATTAGAAAAATATTGCCTGCTACTGGGGTGCACGCGGTGGGCTAGTTTATAATTTAACAGGATTGTGAATGTCGTAGGAGGAGAAGGAGCTGACGGACATGGAGGTGTCGCTGCACCGAACTCGCAGCCTCCTCGGAGAAAAGGTAATCCGGCTGCGTCACCTGGAGCAGTCGCTCCAGAGGGCTACGGTAACGGCTGAAAACCGCCACGACGACGCCACGTTGAGTGATTTGTCCTCTCATAGTGCGAGCTCGGGGATAAGCTCGACGGAATTCGCCACCGCCGACGCCACCGTCGGAAAAGGGTTGATTCACGGGGAGCACCTGCAGGAGTCTTCCGAAATTATCCAGAGTCTGGAAAACTTGAATTCCGAAATTCGGGAAATCTGGGACGTTCTGCGCAAGCAGCAGCAATCTGGGGGAGTGCCTACAGGTAAGCGGGTCACTCGAGTGGCTCTACCCCGATTCTGATTTCTACCCTTCCACAGTCATACCACCCTTTGTCTACCCTGACTTAGGCTGGCCGCTGTTGGCAGGGGCTGCTCCCGTTCCAGCACCACCGTCCATCCCCACTTTGGCGGACAGATTGCATAATTACCGACAACACGTGGCGCTAGCCAATGCTCAAAGTACCGTAGTGACGCACGCTAATCAAGGAGCCACCACGACTCTAGTCGAACGAACCAGGAATCTACGACATTGGTTGCGACAAGCCGGGATCGACAACACCGTCGAGGGAAGCACCCCGCAAGCGACCCTATAATCTTTAACAGTACAAATTTTATCAACGTTGGCATTTTTAGATTTTATCCGAGTTAGACTCTTTGAACAGTCAGGCCAAAAATTCGGCCAAACGTAGCTCCAATGTTAGGGATAGCAGCATGATCATCAAACGTTTCTTTCATAGACGCTTCAATTGTGATTATTCAATCTCAAATTTACGCCTTGATTACGGACTGAGGAAATCGTGATGTGATAGCGTTTCATTTCAAATCAACTAACAGGACCTACAAAAACAAATCTTGCCTTATTCGTTTAAACAAGTCCACTTATTTGTACCTAAGAACGTTCATAGTGCCAAGCGATTTACGACTGTTAGGAAAGGTTCTAAGCAAATTTTATCGAAACAAAAAAAAATCAAATCTAGTCATTGTATCATTCCCGCACAAACATGTAAATAAGGAGTTGATGTTTAAGGTATAAAAAACCAATAAACCTCTTAAAAAACCTCGTTATTTATTCATTTAAAGAGTGATAATTCCACTTTTCAACGCCTTACGTTCCTTCGCTTTCACCTGTGCGGCGATGCGATCCAAGTCCCGTCGGCCTTGCTGGGTCAATTCCCGTCCGCCACTCGGGTTCTTCTCGATCAATTTCAGACCTTCCAGACTCTGGAGGGCTTTTCTGGCTATGCTGCCCGCAGAACGACAGAAGTGCGACGGTTTAGTGCCGTTGCGCTTACGCGTGCCGAAGATTTTTGTAACCGAACCCACACCAATGGGGGACCGGATGTAGATGTGTCTCACGACGGCGGCGCAACGGGTGTAGTACCAATCGGGATCATAGGGAGCCAGCTCCTTAGCACGGGAAGTCTTGACGATGTCGACCCATTCAGGAACGCGGAGCTTACCGGTCCTAGAACAACAAGGTTAACAAAAAGTGAGGTTATGTCGAAACTTACTTTTTTAAAAATTGGGCGAAAGCCTTCACGAATTTGTGTTGATCGACGTCTTTAAGCGTCACAGACGGCATTTTCTGAAAGAAATAATAACTTTATTAACACGGAGAGCGAAAAAACGTGGTTGACATGTGTGACCATGCCGTTTTTCAATTATGGTAAAAAAAGCACGATCTAAACAAAAAAGGTTGTTGGTTTTGTTATGAATGCGTTGTGGATGTGATTTTACTTGAAATTACCGTTTAAATAATATTTATGTCGATATTGTGAAGCGAAACAACACGCACCTGGACACTATCGTTTCAAGATGGCTGAAAAAGAACGTTTAGTTCCGCTGTGTTGGTAACTGTAAATAACTAGAGTGCGATGGCGCGAAATTCAAATTCCCGTTTTTTAAAAATTTTATTAAAATAGTAAAATATAGTTATTTTGATGTATTTTTCAGAGCAGTGAAGACTCGGTTGCACCTCAAGTTTGTACACAGTTCCGTCACGAAGTTTCCAATGTAGGTGTCCTTCTCTGACTTTTTGCTTTCAAAAAGGATGACTAAGTAAATGTTGGGTTCCACTGTGGTCAGGATGTATGTACATTGGCTCTAAAAAAACATAATTGTGCTTTACTGAACAAAACTAACACACGAAAGTACCTGGGAACTGAATTTATATATGATTTTGTCTACATTTGCAAGCTCTTCTGATGTTTCTGATATCATTTTTAAAATTGTTTCTAATTGAGGGGGGCTGCGCTACAATTTTACGTTAAACGGGTTTTTGTGGCACTGGGTATACTTACAGGTGGGTATGAAACTATAATTGGAAAACTATCATAGTCTGTGGTGTCACAACTGACTTGGTTATCTGAGAGCAAAATCACACATGCTGCTTCATACTTGCGATGGAAACTGACCATTCTACAACATAACCAGTTTTAAAGTGACCATTTCTGGTATTTATTACCTTTGATAATGGTCATGGTGTAATTTAGCACATAGTTGTCTCATCTCATTTGGTGTAGTTTGTTGCGCTAGAGTGTCATGAAAATATAAACTAAATTTGCTCAAAACTGCTCCTTTTAGCTTCTGGAGCCACTGAAACAGCGCTGGTAGGGGGTTATTCTTGAGAAAACTGATCTTCCAGTTCTGAAAACATAAATCAGTAAAAAATTTTCTTTGTTGAGGGTGGTAGACCTCTCTGTTTGGGATTTTGCTTTCCCACAACGTCAGTCTTGTATGCGCTCCATGTATTAGTGCCAAAGATGGCAAAAACTGCAGTCTTTGGAGCTCAGTTAACGCCCTAAACAACTGTTCTAAAATTTCCACCTCCAAACCAAAAGCGGCTTTAGCTGGAGTCAGACTAATGTCTGCAAAATCAAGTGAGTGTCTTTCTATCAAGTTCTGTATATATTTTAGAGTGTCACTGTACATAAATTGGTTGTTCAGACCCATTGTATAAATTCTTTCATACCTACAAGCTTGTTATTATTTTTCAACTAAACTAAGTTAGGTTTTACCCACAAATCTATCATGTTGACGCGTGCGTTTAGAAATTGGTATATATTTTGGCAATAATGTTGGACCCTTCGATCTACGATCGTCGCTTTGCAGTTGTCTTCGAGTTTTCGCAAGTCGGACCTTAAAGCTTCATAAATGGACCGCAGTGAGTTCTAAAATCATCGTTCAAACCACACAACAACAAAAAATCGTAAATCTTACGTCTTTGCGTAGGAACCCTTTGTTTTTGGTTTGTAGAAAACCAATCTCGATGTAGCTTTTTTCAGTCAGTATTAGTTGTTGTAGAAAACTCAAGAATGTACCCCACGCCGTCAGCTGAGCCCCTTTGTAAGCCTCCTTTTCCTTCTCCTTCAAACAGCTGTCATTTTGACACATAAAAGTAGGGTTAGGTGAAACTTACGACATGTTCTTTCGCTTTGTCGTACGAGATTTGCGACAAATGGGTGAAGTAGGTGTGTAAAAATAAGTCTTCTTTTTCCATATCGTTAAACAATAACTGTGTCTAAAAAGGAATTGTTTGTAAACAAACGTCATTTAGCTGTCAATGTGACATTCCAGAGGGCGCTGTTGTCGTTGTCAAATGAAATGATACCGCGTGGACACAAATTAGTGTTACTGGGTGTCAAATAAGTGTGACTTTTGGATAAATTTATTGAAAAAATCATGTACATGTATAATCTGTATTAACTGAGGCGTCGAGGTAAATGATAATCGTTCAAAAAAATAAATTCCATATACAAAAAACATAAAAATAAAATCTCCAACAAGATCTAGAGTAAAACAAATGGCACTGTCATACTGCTAAAAAATCTTGTTTAGTGACTTCATAAAAACTTTTAGAGTGCTATCAACAATGTCTATTTAATTACAACATTTAACCCCCTTACATAATAATATCAAGGCACATTTTCAATTGGAGATAACATAATTGTTTAAAATATTGCAAATGTGCCATGATGGATCTCTAACATTTTTCGTTCACTATTTGCTAGTAACCGTAACGTTCCTGTAGCGACGACATGACTCCATTGGCCAAAGAGCTGATTTTTCCGGCCACTTTGGTGACGCCTTGTCTGACGCTCTCTCGTACGTCCTCTAGGTCGTATGCTTGCAGCGAATGTGAACTGGGAGTAGCTTCTGCAACGAAAACACCTATAACAATTGTTGTTGTATCGTTTCACGTACCTTGGCCGTTGCCGAAAAACTCGGCTGAAGAAATACTGGAAGAACCCTGGAATCTGTTCAAATTCGCTTTAGTCTCGTAGTCCGTCTCTCGGTCGTTGAAGAACTGCTCGGAAGAAATGGCTTTTGCGTTCCCGAATTTCTTCTGAGCTACGTCGGTACTGGTGTCCACACTACTCCGTGACGATTTCTCCGGCGTTCGGTACGTCGTCTTTGGTTTCTCGACTGGGTCCTCCACGATAACCCAACTGTCCTTCTCGCGCTCCTTGGCGCTCTCCACCAAGAACGAGTCCAATTTGCTAGTCCGATTCATGTTAAAACCGGAACTGAACGAATACTCGTCAAAAAAGCTATCACTATCCGAAATGCGCAATTTCCCCAAAGAACTCAAAGTACTCGGAGCCGCCTGGACGTTCTCCTGCTCGATTTCCTTCATGTCGCTGAGAGCGGAGTGACTCACCCCGCTTGACAAACAAAAACTATTAGTTAGTTAGTTAGTTAGTTATTACTATTTTGGCTACCTTTTCGCGCTGACTCCCATTCCCAATCTTTCGAGCTGTTCGGCTTTTTTCGGATCTTGCTTCCTTAATTGTTCCTCTTTTTTTTGTTGTTCATTGCTGAGATCCTTGTAGGCCAGACGGACGGCAGCTTCGCGATCTTCTTGCTCTTTCAAGGACAAAGCGGCCGCTTTGGCGGCGTCTTCGAGAGCCCGAAGACGGCTTTCTTCCGCGATTTCGGCTTCTCGCTCCAAGTCGGCGAAGTTCGTCTTGACTTTGGTGGCGCCGAGGCCCTTCTTTGCCCCCAGCTTGTGATTTAAAAAATGAAATTGAAAATTCGCGCGCTTTGAAGTTGTTGCAACAACCGCCTGAGGCGCTACGTTTGACATTAAAAATTTAAACACGAAGTATGGATTGTCACTTTTTTATTAGATCAGAATTATTAGACGCAATTTTTTGATCAAGCAAACAAATGTTTTAATTTTGTCAGCATAGATAATTTGTCACATTCTGAAAAATCGAAAATTTTGAACTCCCAAGAAACTCAAGAAACCTCACATACTCAGATAACTTAAGAAATTCAAGAAATCACAGAAACTCTTAGATAACTTAAGAAATTCAAGAAATCTCAGAAACCCGAGAACCCAAGAAATTCGGGAAAATTAAGAAATCCAAAAAATCCAAGAAATTCAAAAAAATATTCTTAAAAAAAACAAAAATTTGGAAGAAAATTTTAATATCTCAAGAAACTCAAGACCAAGAAACTTAAGCAAAGCAAGAAATCCAAGAAATTCAAACTTCTTAAAACATATAAAAATTTTGGAAAATAAAAAATTTTTAACTCCTAAGAAACTTAAGAAACTCGAGAAATTCAAGAAGCCTCAGAAACGCAGATAACCCCGGGAAATCCAAAAAGTCTCAGAAGACCAAGAACCCAAGGAAAGCCAAAAAGACAACGAAACTCAGGAAACTCCGAAAGTTCAAAAACTCAAGAAGCCCAAGAACTCCGTGAACTTCAGAAATTCTAGGAATACAAGAAATTCAGAAAACCGAAATCTGTAAATTATTATCAATTTTCTAAAAATCAAAAATTTGGAATAAAATTTTAAAACCTCAAGAATCTTAAGCACACCAAAAAATCTAAGAAATTCAAAATTCTTAAATATATAAACATTCTGAAAAATAAAAAATTTTGCACTCCCAAGAAACATAAGAAACTTGAGAAATTCAAGAAACCTCGGAAATTCGGATAATCCTAGAAATCCAAGAAATCTCAGAAGCCCAAGAAACCAAGAAATCCCGGAAATAAAAAAAAACTCAAGAAACCCCAAACATTCGAAAAACCCAAGGAAATTTAAGAAGTCCAAAATTCCGAAGATTACGAATATTCTAAAACCTCAAGAAATCCAAGGCCAAGAAACTTACGAAGTCCAACAAATTCAAAATTCTTGAAATTATACACATTCTGAAAAATAAAAAATTTTGAACTCTCGAGAAACTCAAGACATTTAAGAAAGTCAAAAAATTCAAGAAATCTCAGAAACCCAACAGCCCAAGGAGTTCGAGAAAATTAAGAAGTCCAGTGGAACAACGAAATCCAAAAAATCCAAGAAATTGAAAAAACTCAAGAAATCCATGATTCTGAAAACTATAAATTAAAAAAAAAAAAAAAAAGAATTTGGAACCAAATTTTAGTATCTCGAGAAACTCAAGACCAAGAAACTTAAGCAAATTAAGAAATCCAAGAAATTCAAACTTCTTAGAACATATGAACATTCTGGAAAATTAAAAATTTTGAACTCCTAAGTAACTTAAAAAACCCGAGAAATTCAAGAAGCGTTAGAAACTCGGATAACAAGAAATCGAAAAATTCTCAGAAGTCCAAGAACCCAAGAAGTCTAAGAAAGACAGGAAATCCAAAAAGACAACGCAACTGAAAAAACCCCGAAAATTAAAAAACCCGAGAAGCCCAAGAACTCCAAGAACCCAAGAAAATCGAGGAATCCAACAAATTCGAGAAATCTAAATTTCTGAAAATTATCAATACTCTAAAAATCCAAGAAATTTAAGAAATCTCGAAAATCTAAGAGCTCAAGAAGTATAAGAAAACCCAGAAATCCAGTGGCACAAGAAATCCCAAAAAACTTAAAATAAAAACCAATAGGTCCAAGGAACCAAGAAATCCAAGGAATCCAAGAAGATTATAAACATTCTAAGAAAATAAAAATTTGGAACAAAATTTTAAAACTTCAATAACCGTAAGCACACCAAAAAATCTAATAAATTCAAAATTCTTAAACATATAAAAATTCTGAAAAATAAAAAAATTTGCACTCCCAAGAAACTTAATCCAATAAATTCAAGAAATTTCAAAAACCCAAGAGCCCAAGAAGTTCGAGAAAATTAAAAAATCCAGTGGAACAACAAAACCCAAAAAATCCAAGAAATTAAAAAAACTGAAAAAACCCAAGAGATCCAAGGATAAAAAATTTAAACCTCAAGAAACCTCAGAGCAAGAATCTTAAGAAATTCAAAATTGTGAAAAATATAAACATTAATTAAATTTCGAACTCTCAAGAAACTTAGAGTTTTCTTTCAACAACAGGAAAATTAAACATGTTTTCAGTTTCTTGTTGGGAAAAGAAGTCTTCGTATATTAAGAAAAAATGAACAAAATATTAGCCCCGCCCACCCACCCCTTCTCAATTGTGATGAATGTTTTATTCATCATGAGTTGAAGGGCGAAATTTAGTTTGCAAAATCGTTATTTCTCTACAAGAATATGAAATATTATATTATTAAAATGGTAGATTTTTTTAGAGAAATATTGATGTTACATTTAAACTCCGCCCTTTGGTCTGATTACGAATGAAAAACTCATCGCAGTTGAGATCGGGGCGGGTGGGTGGGGCTTAATCTTTGTTTTTTTTTATATGAAAAACTGAAAAATCTAAAAAGTGAAACTTCAAATCGAAAAACTGCAAAATCTAAAAATTTAATGAGTTACACATTGGAAATTTGAAGAAAGAAAAAAGAAAACTTGAAAAATTGCAAACAGAAAAACTGAAAAAATTGAACGGAACATTTAAAAATTGTAAATATAAAGACAATAAAAAAACCGAAACGAAAAATTGCACATGGAAAAATTAAAAATTGAAAACCTGAAAAACTCAAATTGAAAAATTGTAACTTGAAAACTAGAAAAAATGCAAATCGAAAAAACGAACGAACAAAAAAAATAAAAATATTATTTTATCACGTTTGCTCCAGTTTTTGATTTTTTAGTGGTTTTTTCTTATTTCTTTGGTGCGTTTTTTTTGTCTTTTTGTTAATTTTTTGTCATATTTTTACAGCCAAAGAAGTCTTCGAATGTTAAGAAAAAATGGACAAAATATTAGCCCCGCCCACCCACCCCTTCTGAATTGAGATGAATATTTTATTCATCATGAGTTGAAGGGCGAAATTTAGGAATGAAAAACTCATCACATTTGAGATTGGGGCGGGTGGGTGGGGCTTAATTTTTGTTTTTTTTTCTATGAAAAATTGAAAAATCTAAAAAGTGAAATTTCAAATCGAAAAACTGCAAAATCTAAAAATTTAATGAGTTACACATAGGAAGTTTGAAGAAAGAAAAAAGAAAACTTGAAAAATTGCAAACAGAAAAACTGAAAAAATTGGACGGAACATTGAAAAATTGTAAATATAAAGAAAATAAAAAACCGAAACGAAAAATTGCACATGGAAAAATTAAAAATTGAAAACTTGAAAAACTCAAATTGAAAAATTGTAACTTGAAAACTAGAAAAAACGCAAATCGAAAAAATGAAGGAACAAAAAAAATAAAAATATGATTTTTATCACGTTTGCTCCACTTTTTGATTTTTTTTTGGTGGCTTTTTTCTTATTTCTTTGGTCCGTTTTTTTCTTTCCTTTTGTTAATTTTTTGTCACATTTTTAAAGCCAAAGAAGTCTTCGTATATTAAGAAAAAATGGACAAAATATTAGCCCCGCCCACCCACCCCTTCTCAATTGTGATGAATGTTTTATTCATCATGAGTTGAAGGGCGAAATTTAGGAATGAAAAACTAATCACAATTGAGATCGGGGCGGGCGAGTGGGGCTTAATTTTTGTTTTTTTTTTTTCAATGAAAAACTGAAAAATCTAAAAAGTGAAACTTCAAATCGAAAAATTGCAAAATCTAAAAATTTAATGAGTTACACAGGAAATTTGAAGAAAGAAAAAAGAAAACTTGAAAAATTGCAAACAGAAATACTGAAAAAATTGAACGGAACATTGAAAAATTGTAAATATAAAGAAAATAAAAAACCGAAACGAAAAATTGCACATGGAAAAATTAAAAAATTGAAAACTTGAAAAACTCAAATTGAAAAATTGTAACTTGAAAACTAGAAAAAATGCAAATCGAAAAAATGAAGGAACAAAAAAAATAAAAATATTATTTTATCACGTTTGCTCCACTTTTTGATTTTTTTAGTGGCTTTTTTCTTATTTCTTTGGTCCGTTTTTTTTCTGTTCTTTTGTTAATTTTTTGTCACATTTTTAAAGCCAAAGAAGTCTTCGAATGTTAAGAAAAAATGGACAAAATATTAGCCCCGCCCACCCACCCCTTCTCGATTGTGATGAATGTTTTATTCATCATGAGTTGAAGGGCGAAATTTAGGAATGAAAAACTCATCACAATTAAGATCGGGGCGGGTGGGTGGGGCTTAAATTTTGTTTTTTTTTTCTATGAAAAACTAAAAAATCTAAAAAGTGAAACTTCAAATCGAAAAACGCAAAATCTAAAAATTTAATGAGTTACACATAGGAAATTTGAAGAAAGAAAAAAGAAAACTTGAAAAATTGCAAACAGAAAAACTGAAAAAATTGAACATTGAAAAATTGTAAATATAAAGAAAATAAAAAACCGAAACGAAAAATTGCACATGGAAAAATTAAAAATTGAAAACTTGAAAAACTCAAACTGAAAAATTGCAACTTGAAAACTAGAAAAAATGCAAATCGAAAAAATGAAGGAACAAAAAAAATAAAAATATTATTTTATCACGTTTGCTCCACTTTTTGATTTTTTTAGTGGCTTTTTTCTTATTTCTTCGGTCCGATTTTTTTTCTGTCCTTTTGTTAATTTTTTGTCACATTTTTAAAGCCAAAGAAGTCTTCGTATATTAAGAAAAAATGGACATAATATTAGCCCCGCCCACCCACCCCTTCTCAATTGTGATGAATGTTTTATTCATCATGAGTTGAAGGGCGAAATTTAGGAATGAAAAACTCATCACAATTGAGATCGGGGCGGGTGGGTGGGGCTTAATTTTTGTTTTTTTTCCTATGAAAAACTGAAAAATCTAAAAAGTGAAACTTCAAATCGAAAAACTGCAAAATCTAAAAATTTAATGAGTTACACATAGGAAATTTGAAGAAAGAAAAAAGCAAACTTGAAAAATTGCAAACAGAAAAACTGAAAAAATTGATCGGAACATTGAAAAATTGTAAATATAAAGAAAATAAAAAACCGAAACGAAAAATTGCACATGGAAAAATTGAAAATTGAAAACTTGAAAAACTCAAATTGAAAAATTGTAACTTGAAAACTAGAAAAAATGCAAATCGAAAAAATGAAGGAACAAAAAAAATAAAAATATTATTTTATCACGTTTGCTCCACTTTTTGATTTTTTTTTAGTGGCATTTTCTTATTTCTTTGGTCCGTTTTTTTTTCTTTCCTTTTGTTAATTTTTTGTCACATTTTTAAAGCCAAAAAAGTCTTCGTATATTAAGAAAAAATGGACAGAATATTAGCCCCGCCCACCCACCCCTTCTGAATTGTGATGAATGTTTTATTCATCATGAGTTGAAGGGCGAAATTTAGGAATGAAAAACTCATCACAATTGAGATCGGGGCGGGTGGGTGGGGCTTAATTTTTGTTTTTTTTTCTATGAAAAACTGAAAAATCTAAAAAGTGAAACTTCAAATCGAAAAACTGCAAAATCTAAAAATTTAATGAGTTACACATAGGAAATTTGAAGAAAGAAAAAAGAAAACTTGAAAAAATGCAAACAGAAAAAATGAAAAAATTGAACGGAACATTGAAAAATTGTAAATATAAAGAAAATAAAAAACCGAAACGAAAAATTGCACATGGAAAAATTAAAAATTGAAAACTTGAAAAACTCAGATTGAAAAATTGTAACTTGAAAACTAGAAAAAATGCAAATTGAAAAATGAAGGAACAAAAAAAAATAAAAATATGATTTTTATCACGTTTGCTCCACTTTTTGATTTTTTTTTGGTGGCTTTTTTCTTATTTCTTTTGTCCGTTTTTTTTCTTTCCTTTTGTTAATTTTTTGTCACATTTTTAAAGCCAAAGAAGTCTTCGTATATTAAGAAAAAATGGACAAAATATTAGCCCCGCCCACCCACCGCTGCTCAATTGTGATGAATGTTTTATTCATCACGAGTTGAAGGGCGAAATTTAGGAATGAAAAACTCATCACAATTGAGATCGGGGCGGGTGGGTGGGGCTTAATTTTTGTTTTTTTTTTATGAAAAACTGAAAAATCTAAAAAGTGAAACTTCAAATCGAAAAACTGCAAAATCTAAAAATGTAATGAGTTACACATAGGAAATTTGAAGAAAGAAAAAAGAAAACTTGAAAAATTGCAAACAGAAAAACTGAAAAAATTGAACGGAACATTGAAAAATTGTAAATATAAAGAAAATAAAAAACCGAAACGAAAAATTGCACATGGAAAAATTAAAAATTGAAAACTTGAAAAACTCAAATTGAAAAACTGTAACTTGAAAACCAGAAAAAATGCAAATCGAAAAATGAAGGAACAAAAAAAATAAAAATATGATTTTTATCACGTTTGCTCCACTTTTTGATTTTTTTTTGGTGGCTTTTTTCTTATTTCTTTGGTCCGTTTTTTTCTTTCCTTTTGTTAATTTTTTGTCACATTTTTAAAGCCAAAGAAGTCTTCGTATATTAAGAAAAAATGGATAAAATATACGCCCCGCCCACCCACCCCTTCTCGATTCTGATGAATGTTTTATTCATCATGAGTTGAAGGGCGAAATTTAGGAATGAAAAACTCATCACAATTGAGATCGGGGCGGGTGGGTGGGGCTTAATCTTTGTTTTTTTTTTCTATGAAAAACTGAAAAATCTAAAAAGTGAAACTTCAAATCGAAAAACTGCAAAATCTAAAAATTTAATGAGTTACACATTGGGAATTTGAAGAAAGAAAAAAGAAAACTTGAAAAATTGCAAACAGAAAAACTGAAAAAAATTGAACGGAACATTGAAAAATTGTAAATATAAAGAAAATAAAAAACCGAAACGAAAAATTGCACATGGAAAAATTAAAAATTGAAAACTTGAAAAACTCAAATTGAAAAATTGTAACTTGAAAACTAGAAAAAATGCAAATCGAAAAAATGAAGGAACAAAAAAAAGAAAAATATTTTATCACGTTTGCTCCACTTTTTGATTTTTTTAGTGGCTTTTTGCTTATTTCTGTGGTCCGTTTTTTTTTCTTTTGACAATTTTTTGTCACATTTTTAAAGCCAAAAAGCCTTCGTATATTAAGAAAAAATGGATAAAATATTAGCCCCGCCCACCCACCCCTTCTCGATTGTGATGAATGTTTTATTCATCATGAGTTGAAGGGCGAAATTTAGGAATGAAAAACTCATCACAATTAAGATCGGGGCGGGTGGGTGGGGCTTAATCTTTGTTTTTTTTTTCTTTGGACTGTACTCCTAATGTAAGTCATGTAGAATAACTTGTACTTCGCTTTTTCGAAAAACTGAAAAATCTAAAAATCGAAAATTAAAAATTAAAAACCCGTGAAACTTCAAATCGAAAAACTGCAAAATCTAAAAATTTAATGAGTTACACATAGGAAAATTGAAGAAAGTAAAAAGAAAACTTGAAAAATTGAAAAATTTTAACTTGAAAACTAGAAAAATGCAAATCAAAACAATGAAGGAACAAAAAAAAATAAAAATATTATTTTATCACATTAATAAGCATTTGGAAGTACTTAGTAAAAGCAAATAAAGAGCACTTACGTAAGCATTAGTAATAGCTATATAGATAAATCATTCAATTTAAGGCCATTGATACTGGAAACTGAAAGTATCGGCAACAATGTTTAGATTTCGGGCATATTTTTTAACCTTTAATTGAATAAAACATAACCTAAGTAAAAAAGTTCAGGGAATTTTTATTCTTCTGCATTGAATACCAACAAACTCACTAGATTTTCATGGCCAACCCTACTATATAAAGACCGTGAACTGAAATAGGTGAAAATTGGAATTATGGACTCATTGAACAGTTTTTGTTGCGTCAGAATATAACTAGAGTAAATTGATACTTTAGTGAGTCAAGGTTAACAAAAATTACTGGTTTAGTAGCAATTAAGCAAGTGGTAGGCGTAATTGCACAATATGGAATTTTTATCGAGCGTTTTTTATCACGAACTGTTGATAATAATTTTTTAACTCCTGAACATAAATGGGGCATTTGGTGTTTAATTACATTCACACGTCTTTACTTACGCCTGACTTTTTATTAGGGGGTTTTCTCGTAGTGATTGTGGATTTCCGCGGCTCTGAGGGGGCTGTAAAGTCGACCTTGGGGCCTTCATCTGGACTTTTAACATCCTTTTGCAGAGATTGTGATTCTTCAATCTAAAATCAAGTAGACTGACATTTCAGACATAACCTCACTTTTGTATTTAAAATAAATTCAATCAAGTACAAGAACAACGAAAAAACATTAACAAAGCAACTATAGTTGCCCCAATAGCTAAGTTATACCGTGCGTTTGCAAAAGCTGCACCTACTTTCTGTTGTTGTTGCAGAGGGGCGTCAGGAAGGGCAAAATTTTCCTGCTCCGTGAAGAAATCAACCTCTTTCTCGGCGGAACTCTCCTCAACATGGGGATGAACATGAAGCTAAGAATGTTAAATAAAAGAAAAGTCACAAAAACAAATTGTTACTGTGCTGGTGTTAGGACAAGCGACCTACCTTACCCAGCTAGACTTTACTTAAGTGCGCTTACACGAAATCGAACAAACCTGTGTGTTGGTTCTGAGGGAGTTGGCAGCTACTTGCTGCAACTTGTCTCGGTACAACTGAGCCGCCCTCGAGTTGTACTTCTTCTGGGCGTCTGTGGTGACACAGTTGTGTTGTGCAAAGAACTGGATCTGCGTAGTATTAATACCCAGTATTAGCACGAAATCGCGTTATTAAAGTACTTACAGCGTTGGAGTTGCCCCCTAGTTGCATCTGGCGCAACTGCATCCATGTCCAGTTGGTGTCAAGCTGCGTGGACCTCACAAACGTCAAGTGCACCCCCAGGCTTCGGTGCACAGCTGAGCAGTCGATGCAGATGAACACCCCGTAGGTGACGCTAGCCCAGGTCGGGTTCTTGGCGTTGCAATCAAAACATACCTGAAATAATCGTTCCAGGAATTCCAGACACGTCACACGTATAACCTATTTCCAGCGTTGGATTTCCAGATGTCTCAGCTTACTTTGTTTGCAGCGCTGGCCCTCAGTCTGTGAAAAACGGCCTCGATGTCTGTTTTGCTCGGCTGGGAGTCCATCGCACCAAAAAAATTTACCAACTTGACAAGTCTGTCACTTTCACGACACGTTGCCCTCACCTTGGCCTGTCAACACCGAGGGCGCCACTCTCGCTGTCTCTAACTACAACAATTAAATCGCGTCCGACTCACCTCGCGCATCGCTGTTTGTGTTCAATTAATTTTATTGTTTATTGGGGTCTCAAGGTCGTTTTTGGCGTTTTTTCCGAAAATGGCGGTGTTTTTTTCGAAACGGCGGCGCCGGCCAATCGTGCGGGCCCACCGCGTCACGTGATTGTGACAGTTGTTCGGTTTGTCATGCCAGCCAGTGGTGTTCGTCTGATTGTAAACAAAACGCAAATTGGCCATTTTTTATCGAATAAAATAGAATAGAGATCGATCGGTGTATCTCCAACAGTTACACAACGATTAAATATCAACATTAGCGGCGTTGGCATGAGAAGATATGCTCGAAATGGACGTGAGAAACCAAAAACTGGAACAACAAGTAAGGGCTTTAATTATTCACGGAACGGGAGGAAATCAATCGATTGTTATTTTTAGAGGCAAATTATGGAACAGAAAATGAAGCAGAAACGGATGACGTCCGGCATGATCCAGGCCTCGGACGTTAGGAAGAATTCGGCGACTTTGCGGACGAATAGTGGCAACAGGAGGGAACTGCATGGTACAGACGGCACGGGAGAGGGTTTAGGACACTGTGGGTATACGTAAATCGGTTTTAGGTTATGACGGGCCCTTGCAGTACACGATGGCGAGAGACAACAACCCTGACCAAGTTATATCAATACTATCTAGTCCCGACAGTGTTGATGGTGAGCTAAAGTAGATTCCCACGTTGTAGACTTGTGTCCCTGCTTTTATTTTTTTTTGTGGTTTCAGTTTATTTTTGCAAGCGATTTTTACTAATTTTTTAGTAAAATTATCATTTGTTTTGTAGTTTGAAAAAGTTAGGTAGTTGATTAGTTTGACTGTTCACCGCATGGCGCTACGATCGCGGAAAATTAGGACACTGGGAGGAGGGGAGCGGTGAATGTCGGAAATTCATTTTCATTTATAAGTTTGGTAATCTTTATGACAGGAAATGTTGGTGTTGTCATAATTGTACCTTGATCTATTTAATTGCTTTAGCACCACATTTGGAATTCAAAAGTTACATCTTTGTTCCTTGATTTTTTGACACGAGTGGGTTTCGCATTATAATATTAATAATAAATAGATATATATATATATATATATATATATATCGAGATTATTCGTGATGAGATTTAATTTTCATTTTCCCTTTGTTTTGCTATTTTTTTGTGACTTTGTTGTCTTTTAAAGCATTTTGTCCGGTTTTTTGACTTTTTTTTGTTTAACGTTTTGTCGTTTTATTTCCGCCTTTTTGATTCCTTTTTTCCAGTGACTTTTTTTCCAAGTTTTTGTGGCCTTTTTTGTCATTTTTTTTATTTCATTCCTTTCAGTCACTGTCGTTTTTTCCACCCTTTCTCGTCTCTTTTTCGCCTTTTTTGCTTTATTTTGTTACCTAAATCTCTCGAAGATCGTATGGAAAATGTTGGTCTTGTGAACAAAATTACTGAGTTTTCTCAATTTAGTTGTGGTTTTTGTTTGAATCTTCCTATAGACGTTTCAGTTAGTTTCATGACCGATCCGGTGTAAGGTTGCTTGATTTTGGCGATATTTATTGGATAAACAATAAAGATAAATTTTACAGAAAAGTGTATTTACTTGATTTTTGTTCCCTTCTTTTGGTAACTTTTTTCTCAATATCTTGTCGTTTTTTAATTGGTTTTTGTTTATTGTTTTGTTGTTTTTTCGTTTTTTACTTACCGAGCGTAAGCTAAGGAAGTATAGTAATCGAGTTCATCGGACGAATTGCCAGTTTTATGTTTTCTCGACGTTTTATGACCCCTACAGAACGAAAGTAGTCGCCCGTTTCCGTCCGTCCGTCTGCCTGTCTGCCTGTCTGTCTGTCTATCTGTCTGTATCCATTTTTATCAGACACGTAATCTCCAAAACTGCTGGACCGATTGTTGTAAAATTTTGTACGTATGTTAAAAATATCATGTAGATGGTTAAATACTAGCCAGAATTTGGCTAATTATCCATTTTTTTTTAAATATATATAGAGTTTTCTTTCAACAACAGGAAAGTTAAACATGTTTTCAGTTGCTTGTTGGGAAAAGAAGACTTCTTATATTAAGAAAAAATGGACACAATATTAGCCCCGCCCACCCACCCCTTCTCAATTGTGATGAATATTTTATTCATCGTGAGCTGAAGGGCGGAATTTAGCTGCAAAATCCTCTTTTCTCTACAAGAAATTTTCATATGAAATATGTTTTTAAAAGGGTAGAATTTTTTAGACACATATTGATATTACAATTAAACTCCGCCTTTAAAAATTCATCACAATTGAAATCCGGGTGGGTGGGTGGGGCTTACTTTTTTTTTTTTTTGTTTTTTTAATATATAGAATTTTCTTTCTACAACAGGATAGTTAAACATGTTTTCAGTTTCTTGTTGGGAAAGGAAGACTTCATATATTAAGAAAAAATAGACAAAATTTAAGCCCCGCCCACCCACCCCTCGTCAATTGTGATGAATGTTTTATTCATCATGAGTGGAAGGGCGAAGTTTAGTTGCAAAGTTGTCATTTTTGTACAAGGAATTTTCACATGAAATATGTTTTTAAAAGAGTAGAATTTTTTAGAGAAATTTGATGTTACATTTAAACTCCGCCTTTTGGTTTAACAACGAATGAAAAACTCATCACAATTGAGATCGGGGCGGGTGGGTGGGGCTCAATCTTTTTTTTTTTTCTCTATGAACAACTGAAAATGTAAAAATCGAAAATTAAAAATTAAAAACTGGTGAAACTTCAAATCGAAAAACTTCAAAATCTAAAAATTTAATGAGTTACACATAGGAAAATTGAAGAAAGTAAAAAAAAAACTTGAAAAATTGCAAACAGAAAAATTGAAAAAATTGAAATTGAAAAAACAAAAATTATAAAATCGGAATACTTAAAAATTGTAAAAATAAAGAAAATAAAAAACTGAAACGAAAAATTGCATGTGGAAAAATTAAAAATTGAAAACTTGAGAAACTGAAGTTGAAGAATTGCAAAATCTAGAAATTGAATTGAAAACTAGAGAAAATGCAAATCGAAAAAGTGAAGGAACAAAAAAAAATTTAAAAATTGAAGAAAAAATTCAAGTCAAATAAGTTGCGGGGGCGTTACGACACTGGTTTTTACTTTATAGAGTTTTCTTTCAACAACAGGAAAATTAAACATGTTTTCAGTTTCTTGTTGGGAAAAGAAGACTTCGTATATTAAGAAAAAATGGACAAAACATAAGCCCCGCCCACCCACCCCTTCTCAATTGTGATGAATTCTTTATTCATTGTGAGCTGAAGGGCGGAGTTTAGTTGTAAATCTTCATTTCTTTACAAGAAATAACCATCTGAAATATGTTTTTAAAAGGGTAGATTTTTTTAGAGAAATATGGATGTTACAATTAAACTCCGCCTTTAAAAATTCATCACAATTGAAATCCGGGCGGGTGGGTGGGGCTTACTTTTTTTTGTGTTTTTTTAATATATAGTTTTCTTTCAATAACAGGATAGTGAAACATGTTTTCAGTTTCTTCATGGGAAAAGAAGACTTCATATATTAAGAAAAAAATGGACAAAATATAAGCCCCGCCCACCCACCCCTACTCAATTGTGATGAATGTTTTATTCATCGTGAGCTGAAGGGCGGAAATTAGCTGCAAAATCCTCTTTTCTCTACAAGAAATTTTCATATGAAATATGTTTTTAAAAGGCTAGAATTTTTTACAGAAATATTGATGTTACAATTAAACTCCGCCTTTAAAAATTCATCACAATTGAAATCCGGGCGGGTGGGTGGGGCTTACTTTTTTTTTGTTTTTTTTTAATATATATAGTTTTTTTTAACAACAGGATAGTTAAACATGTTTTCAGTTTCTTGTTGGGAAAAGAAGACTTCTTATATTAAGAAAAAATGGACAAAACATAAGCCCCGCCCACCCACCCCTTCTCAATTGTGATGAATGTTTTATTCATCATGAGTTGACGGGCGGAATTTAGTTTGCAAAATCCTCATTTCTCTACAAGAAATTTTCATATGAAATATGTTTTTAAAGGGGTAGAATTTTTTAGAGAAATATTGATGTTACATTTAAACTCCGCCCTTCGGTTTAACAACGAATGAAAAACTCATCACAATTGAGATCGGGCGGGTGGGTGGGGCTTAATCTTTGTTTTCTTTTTCTATGAAAAACTGAAAAATCTAAAAATTGAAAATTAAAAATTAAAAACTCGTGAAACTTCAAATCGAAAAACTGCAAAATTTAAAAATTTAATGAGTTACACATAGGAAAATTGAAGAAAGTAAAAAGAAAACTTGAAAAATTGCAAACAGAAAAACTGAAAAAGTTGAACGGAACATTGAAAAATTGTGAAAATAAAGAAAATAAAAAACCGAAACGAAAAATTGCACATGGAAAAATTAAAAATTGAAAACTTGAGAAACTCAAATTGAAAAATTGCAAAATCTAAAAATTCAATTGAAAAATTGAAAAATATTAACTTAAAAACTAGAAAAAATGCACATCGAAAAAATGAAGGAACAAAAAAAAATAAAAGTATTATTTTATCACGTTTGCTTCACTTTTTGATTTTTTTTAGTGGCTTTTTTCTTACTTCTTTGGCCCGTTTTTTATTTTCTTTTGTTAATATTTAGTCATATTTTTAAAGCATTTTTTCGTCCTTTTCGCCTTATTTTGTCTGTTTTTTTTTTAATGTTTTGTCCTTTTTTATTTTGGTTCTTCAGGACTTTTGTCGTTTTTTTCCCCTTTTTCATCTTTTTTCGCCATTTCCGCTTTATTTTCTTGCTCCACTTTTTGATTTTTTAAGTGGCTTTTTTTCTTATTTCTTTGACCCCTTTTTGTTTTTCATTTTCTTTTGTTAATTTTTGTGATATTTTTAAAGCCTTTTTTCCTCCTTTTCGTTTTATTTTGTTTAATGTTTTTTCGTTTTTTATTTCAGTTCTTCAGCATTTTTTGTCGTTTTTTCCCCTCTTTTCGTCTTTTTTTCTCCTTTTTCGCTTTATTTGGTCACCTAAAACTCACGAGAATCTGTCTTGTGAACAAAATCACTGAGTTTTCCCAATTTAGTTGTGGTTAGTTTGAATCTTCATATAGAGGTTTCAATTAGTTTCACGACCGGTCCGGTGCAAGGTTACTTGATCTTCAAGATAATTTTTGTATAAACAGTGAGCTTAAATTTTACAGAAAAATGCATTTAGTACATTTGTGGTTGATTAGTGTATTCATATTTTTTAACGTATTTTTTCGCTTTTTTATTCCTTTTTTATTTTTTTTCTCAATATATTGTCGGAAAGTTAAACATGTTTTCAGTTTCTTGTTGGGAAAAGAAGACTTCGTTGATTAAGAAAAAATGGACAAAATATTAGCCCCGCCCACTCACCCCTTCTCAATTGTTATGAATGTTTTATTCATCATGAGCTGAAGGGCGAAATTTAGTTTGCAACATCCTCATTTCTCTACAAGAAATTGCCATATGAAATGTTTTTAAAAAGGTAGAAGTTTTTAGAGAAATATTGATGTAGAAACATATTTCATATAGCAATTTCTTGTAGAGAAATGAGGATTTTGCAGTTAAACTCCGCCCTTCGGTCTGATTGGGAATGAAAAACTCATCACAATTGAGATCCGGGCGGGTGGGCGGGGCTTACTTTTTTTTTTGTTTTTTTTAATATACATATGGAGTTTTCTTTCAACAACAGGAAAATTAAACATGTTTTCAGTTTTTGGTCGGGGAAAGAAAACTTCGTATATTAAGAAAAAATGGACACAATATTAGCCCCGCCCACCCACCCCTTCTCAATTGTGATGAATGTTTTATTCATCATGAGTTGACGGGCGGAATTTAGTTTGCAAAATCCTCATTTCTCTATAAGAAATTATCATATGAAATATATTTTTAAAAGGGTAGAATTTTTTAGAGAAATATTGATATTACATTTAAACTCCGCCCTTTGGTTTAACAACGAATGAAATAGTCATCACAATTGAGATCGGGGCGGGTGGGTGGGGCTTAATCGTTTGTTTTCTTTTTCTATGAAAAACTGAAAAATCTAAAAATTGAAAATTAAAAATTAAAAACTCTTGAAACTTCAAATCGAAAAACTGCAAAATCAAAAAATTTAATGAGTTACACATACGAAAATTGAAGAAAGTAAAAAAAAACTTGAAAAATTGCAAACAGAAAAATTGAAAAATTGAAATTGAAAAAATATATATATAAAATCGGAATGCTTAAAAATTGTAAAAATAAAGAAAATAAAAAACTTTAACGAAAAATTGCATGTGGAAAAATTAAAAATTGAAAACTTGAGCAACTGAAGTTGAAGAATTACAAAACTAGAGAAAATGCAAATCGAAAAAAATGAAAGAACAAAAAAAAAATAAAAAATTGAAAAAATTCAATTCAAATAAGCTGCGGGAGCGTTACGACACTGGTTTTTACTTTATAGAGTTTTCTTTCAACAACAGGAAAATTAAACATGTTTTCAGTTTCTTGTTGGGAAAAGAAGACTCCATATATTAAGAAAAAAAATATTAGGCCCGCCCACCCACCCCTTCTCAATTGTAATGAATGTTTTATTCATCATGAGTTGACTGGCGGAATTTAGTTTGCAAAATCCTCGTTTCTCTACAAGAAATTATCATATGAAATATATTTTTAAAAAGGTAGAATTTTTTAGAGAAATATTGATGTTACATTTAAACTCCGCCCCTCGGTTTAACAACGAATGAAAAACAATTGAAAAAATTGAAATGGAAAAAACAAAAAATTATAAAATCGGAATGCTTAAAAATTGTAAAAATAAAGAAAATAAAAAACTGAAACGAAAAATTGCAAAATCTAGAAATTGAATTGAAAACTAGAGAAAATGCAAATCGAAAAAATGAAGGAACAAAAAAAAAGTAAAAATTGAAGAAAAAAATCAAGTCAAATAAGCTGCGGGAGCGTTACGACACTGGTTTTTACTTTATAGAGTTTTCTTTCAACAATAGGAAACTTAAACATGTTTTCAGTTTCTTGTTGGGAAAAGAAGACTTCGTATATTAAGAAAAAATGGACAAAATATAAGCCCCGCCCACCCACCCCTTCTCGATTGTGATGAATGTTTTATTCATCGTGAGTTGACGGGCGTAATTTAGTTTGCAAAATCCTCATTTCTCTACAAGAATATGAAATATATTTTTAAAATCGTAGATTTTTTTAGAGAAATATTGATATTACATTTAAACTCCGCCCTTCGGTCTAACAACGAATTAAAAACTCATCACAATTGAGATCGGGCGGGTGGGTGGAGCTTAATCTTTGTTTTTTTTTTTTCAATGAAAACTCGTGAAAATTCAAATCGAAAAACTGCAAAATCTAAAAATTTAATGTTACAAACAAAAGCTGAAAAAATTGAACGGAACATTGAAAAATTGTAAAAATGAAGAAAATAAAAAACTGAAACGAAAAATTGCACATGGAAAAATTAAAAATTGAAAAATTTTGACTTGAAAACTTGAAAAATTGCAGATCGAAAAAATGAAGCAACAAAAAAAATAAAAATATTATTTTATCACGTTTGCTTCACTTTTTGATTTTTTAGTGGGTTTTTTTCTTATTTCTTTGGTCCTTTTTTTTTCTTTTCTTGTGTTAATTTTTTGTGTTATTTTTAAAGCATTTTTTCGTCCCTTTCGCTTTATTTTGTCTGTTTTTTTTTTGTTTAATGTTTTCTCGTTTTTTATTTCAGTTCTTCAGCATTTTTTGTCGTTCAATTAGTTTCACGACCGGTCCGGTGCAAGGTTGCTTGATCTTCAAAATAATTTTTATATAAACAGTGTTCTTAAATTTTACAGAAAAGTGTATTTAGTATATTTGTGGATGATCAGTGTATTCATATTTTTTAACGCGATTTTCGCCTTCTTTTAGCCGTTTTTTTTGTTGTTGTTTTTTTTTGTATTATTTTGTCACACTTTTTTTATTTTTCTGATTCCCCTTTTCAAGTAATTTTTTCTCATTTTTTGGTCGCGTTTTTTCTTTTCTTTTGTCAGTTTTTGTGATTTTTTGTTGTCTTTTTTACTCTATTTTTTTGTCGTATTTTTTTTAGCCCCTTTTTTGTCTTTTTTTGTTTATTATTTTGTATTTTTACGTTTTTTTTTTATTTTTTTTTGTGATGTTCCCCTCCTTTTTAGTTTTTTTTCGCTTTGTGGTCGTTTTTAATTCCACTCCTTTAGCCGCACTTTTTGCCTTCTGTTTTACGCCTTTTTACAAAATTTTATCTATTATTTTTTAAATTCTTGAAACATCTCCAAACATATATTTTGAAATTCAGTTGAAGTGTTCTTTGCTTCCCGATCACCCTTTGGTATAAATAAACTGTTTATTATTATTATTAAGACCCACCACTGACCCGGAAATGACCGGCATTCAGGCAAGACTTATTATTGTTACAAATGGCTGAATTTTCTATAATATTATTTAATACCGAGTGACTATTATTGTTTCTGATATTTTTTGTTGGGTTGGCAACATATTTAAAACTTTGTGATGGCATTTCAGTGGCTTTCCTCATTGGTCACGTCAAAGTTGGCAGCTGCGAACTGACATTGCTGCCAATAATTCAGAATTGCCAACCCAAAAATTTCCTTAATAATCCCCCGGTAAAACCACCGCAAGTGGCGCCACCACATAAAATCCATTGCATTTTTGACGATACCACGTACCGGGTAAACAGTGCCACCACGTCCACGCAATCCGTTAAAGACTAAATTTGCACGTAACGTAAATTTCAGACACCGTGGTCGAAGACTTGACCAACGCCTCCAGCGACCTCATGGACGTGGAGGACGACGAGTCCTCGCCGGTGGCTTCGACCCCCAACAACGGCAACATGCCGATTAATCCCATAATCGAGCAGCCGACGTTTATTAACACTAGCACTGGCGAAATCGAGGGCGACATCGAAGGCAACGCCGAGAAGTTCGTCCTGCAGCCGGCCCCCCAGAAAGTCTTGTACAAATGTAGGATAACCCGCGATAGGAAAGGCATGGACCGAGGCTTATACCCCACGTATTTTTTACACTTAGAGAGGGATTGCGGCAAGAAGGTGTTTTTATTGGCGGGGCGCAAGCGCAAGAAGAGCGCCACGAGTAACTATTTGATTTCCACAGATCCCACGGACCTGTCACGCAGTGCCGAGTCGTACGTAGGTGAGTGAGAAATCCATAAGTCGGGCTATTTAAGGGGACCCGCTAGACGAGGTATAACATTTTTTTGGTTTTTTGTATGAAAAAATGATATTAATATAGATGTATCATACATCAAACTGCAGCTTTTTTCATATTCTAGAGCGCAGAGACCAGTTCAATCAATTAAAAAAATATGGCTGAGAAATATCGTAAAAAAAGCACGATTGTATGTTTTCTTTTCAAGTTTTTTGCGTCATAACCATCATAGAATCGCTTGAAAATTCGCACATGGATAAAACATCACTTTTTACAGGGCGCAGAGTCTTTAAATGTTTGTTAGTGGTACAATTTGTTTAAATAATAATGTGTTTATTAAAATCAAAATATAGCACAAATTAATGCAAAATACGTCGAATAATTTTAACAGGAATATCAGAGGAGAATTAATGATCTATTGGTTAGCAGAGTTTTTAACAAAAACTAACAATTATTGAAAAAAGTGGGTATCAATTCGACAGATTTTGAGCCGTTAGTTCAGTACTTTGCCTATAGGAGCGCCGCTAAAATTTACGGAAGCGACTTTCCAGGTAAAACGCTTATCACCTGCTCTACCATAAGCTGATTGTTAGCGTTCTCGACTGATTTTTCTAATTTATGGCAAGGAACTCAGTTTTATAACAAGCCGCCAGGACCGGCCGTAGTAATCTATTGTTAAGGAAATTAACTTTTACGCAATGAGGTACTATCATAAAACCGATTTAAAACTGGGGAACTATAATATTTTTACTCCACTCAGGACTCTGAATTCAATACACATGATTACTAAAAATTCATTGTAACATTATTGTTAATATATATTTTGCTTTGTTAATTAATAAAACTAATAAACATATTTATAATAATAATAAAAAATATATAAAATACAGCTTTTGTTTAACACGTGTAAGTAGCTAAGTGTATCTACTACTTATCCCAGAAAGGAGGTGTTTTAGAAAAACCTTACGCCCAGTAACTTCTCCCTTCATTGTTTACTCGAAAAAAGTGCTCGTATATGTTTTCATTTGCCGAGAGATCATTTTCAAAATATATTTATAATAAAAATATGCAAGTCTTGGTGATGAAAAATGTACTCCTAATAAATTATTAAAGTACATAAAAAAATAGAAACAAATTTTATTTATCTTAAAAAAATCTCTCGCTCTTTCTTCTTGAAAATCAATTATTTCGGGCAATAATGCGCCAAAGTAAAATCTGACAAGTTTATCTGCCATCTTTTTACATATTTCTTCGTTTTTTTCTATATTAATTCCATTGGGTGTCCACACAACAAAATAAACTTGTGAAATACCCGTAGCAAGCATTTGTCCCTGGACTTGAAAGTAGTAATCATGATTTTTTTTTTACTTTCAATTCTCTGTCTGTCAATGTACAAAATTTGATAATTTTTTTTCTAACCGCTTCTTCGGGAGACAAATCAAAACATAATAGACATGCAGTCGTCACGTTTCCGATAGCGAGGGAAGTACTGTCTCAACTCTCTAAACCGATTTTTTTGATTTTCCCATTTCTTTTTTCAATGTTTCAGTTTGGGATTTTTTCACTGTTTCAATTCTTTAATTTTCCTTCCAATTTTAGGTTTTTCAATATTTCAACTTTGGAATTTTGCAATATTTCGTTTCTTCAATTTTTCAGTTTTTAAAGTTTTAGGTTTTTAGATTTCTCACTATCTCGATTTTTCGATTTTTCAGTTCCATGATTTTTCAATTTGTCGAATTTTTAAATTTTAGGTTTTTTGTTCTCGATCATTCAATTTTCTGAGTTTTCAGGCTTAGATTTTTTTTGTTGTTCAATTCTTGGATTTTTAAAATTTTTGTTTTTTAAATTTTTCTATTTATCAACTTACTGGGACTTCAATGTTTTGATTTTTTGATTGTTCAATTTCTCGATTTTTTGAATTTTTAGTTTTTGGTACGATTTTTTTTTTCAAAAATTTTCAGTTTTTCAATTTATTAACTTTACGATACTTCAGTTTTGCTCGATTTCGATTTCTCAATTTTTCGATATGTTACTGTTGGGATTTTTCAATTTCTCGATTCTTCGATTTCTCGATTCTTCATATTTTCGGTTTCTCGAATTTCTTCAGTTTTACGATTTTAAATTTTTTTTATTTTTCAGTTTTCAATTTTTGACGTTTCTAAATTTTTCGATTAACTTATTTTTTTATTTTCCCATTTCTCTATTTCTCAATTTTTCAATTCTTTCTTCAATTGTGAATTTTCAATTTTTCGATTTCTGAATTTTTCAATGTTTCAGTTTTGGATTTTTTCACTTTTCCGATTCTTCAATTTTCTTTCCATTTTTCAGTTTTTCAAGATTTCAGTTTTGAATTTTTCCACTTTTTCGATTTTTCAATTTTCCTTTCATTTTTCAGTGTTTCTTTCAGTATTTCAGTTCTGGGATTTTGCAATGTTTCGGTTCTTCAATTTTTCCATTTTTTGATGTTTCGATTTCTCGGTTTTTCAATTTTTTGATACGTATTTTACTTTTTCGATTTTTAATTTCTACATTTTCCGTTAATTTTTTTGTTTTCCTTGATGTTTTGATTTGTCGATTATTCAATTTTTCAAGTTCTCGGTTTAGATTTTTTGATTTTCCAATTCTTCGATTTTTAAATTGTTTAATTTTTAGATTGTTCAATTTCTCGATTTTTAGATTTTTCAATGTTTCAGTTTGGGATTTTTTCACTGTTTCGATTCTTTCATTTTCCATCCAATTTTAGGTTTTTCAATATTTCAACTTTGGAATTTTGCAATATTTCGTTTCTTCAATTTTTCAAATTTTTGATATTGTGTTTTCTCGGTTTTTAAATTTTTCGATATTTTAATTTTTCAATTTGTCGAATTTTTAAATTTTAGATTTTTCTTTTCTTTTATTTCTCAATTTTTGGATTTTTTAAATTTTACATTTTTCGATTTTACTATTTTTTGATGCTTGGATTTCTCAATTTTTCAAGTTTTCAATACTCAATTTTTCAGGATTTAAATATTGAGAACTTTTCAATTTCTGGATTTTCAATTTTCAGATATTTTAATTTTTTGATTTTTTAATGTTTCGATTTTTGGGTGTTTTGATTTTTCGATTTTTAAAGTTTTTGGTTTTTAGATTTCTCACTATCTCGACTTTTCGATTTTTCAGTTCCATGATTTTTCGATTTGTCGAATTTTTAAATTTTAGATTTTTTGTTTTCTTTGATGTTTTGAGTTCTCGATCATTCGATTTTCTGAGTTTTCGGGCTTGGATTTTTTTTGTTGTTCAATTCTTGGATTTTTAAAATTTTTGTTTTTTAAATTTTCCTATTCATCAACTTACTACTGGGTTTTAAATGTTTTGATTTTTTTATTGTTGAATTTCTCGATTTTTTGAATTTTTAGTTTTTGATACGATTTTTTTTTCAAAAATTCTCAGTTTTTCAATTTATTAACTTTACGATACTTCAGTTTTGCTCGATTTCGATTTCTCAATTTCGATTGGGATTTTTTAATTTATCGGTTCTTCGATTTCTCGATTCTTCATTTTTAGATTTCTCAATTTTCCGATGTTTCAGTTTTACAATTTTTGAATTTTTTTATTTTTCAGTTTTCAATTTTTGACGTTTCTAAATTTTTCGATTAACTGATTTTTTTATTTTCTCATTTCTCTATTTCTCGATTTTTCAATGTTTCAGTTTTGGATTTTTTCACTTTTCCGATTCTTCAATTTTCTTTCCATTTTTCAGTTTTTCAAGATTTCAGTTTTGAATTTTTTCACTTTTTCAATTTTTCGATTTTCCTTCCATTTTTCAGTTTTTCAGTATTTCAGTTATGGGATTTTGCAATGTTTCGGTTTTTCAATTTTTCGATAGGTATTTTAATTTTTCAATTTTTAAGTTCTCGGCTTAGATTTTTTGGTTTTCCAATTCTTCGATTTTTAAATTGTTTAATTTTTAGATTGTTCAATTTCTCGATTTTTAGATTTTTCAAATTTTCGGTTTACCGATTTTTTTTCATTTAAAATGTTTCAATTTTTCAGTGATTAACTTTTCGATTTTTCAATTTTGTTCTAATTTGGTTTCTTAATTTTTTTGATTTTTTGACTCCTCTACTCTCGATATTTCAGTTTTTGAACATTCCGATGGTTCGATTTTTCGACTTTTTGGCTTGAAAAATTGAACACTCGAAAACGAGTGTTCAATTTTTTGATTTTTGAATTTTAGATGTTTGTTTTTTCGATTTTTTTGGTGTTTTGATTTCCCAATTCTTCAATGTTTCGATTTTTTAATTTTTCAATTTTTCGAATTTTTAAATTTTTGATTTTTCTTTTCTTTTATTTCTCAATTTTTGGATTTTTTAAATTTTACATTTTTCGATTTTACTATTTTTTGATGCTTGGATTTCTCAATTTTTCAAGTTTTCAATACTCAATTTTTCAGGATTTGAATATTGAGAACTTTTCGATTTCTGGATTTTCAATTTTCAGATATTTTAATTTTTTGATTTTTTAATGTTTCGATTTTTGGGTGTTTTGATTTTTCAGTTTTTAAAGTTTTAGGTTTTTAGATTTCTCACTTCTCGATTTTTCGATTTTTCAGTTCCATGATTTTTCGATTTGTCGAATTTTTAAATTTTAGATTTTTTGTTTTCTTTGATGTTTTGAGTTCTCGATCATTCGATTTTCTGAGTTTTCAGGCTTGGATTTTTTTTGTTGTTCAATTCTTGGATTTTTAAAATTTTTGTTTTTTAAATTTTCCTATTTATCAACTTACTGGGATTTCAATGTTTTGATTTTTTGATTGTTCAATTTATCGATTTTTTGAATTTTTAGTTTTTGATACGATTTTTTTTTCAAAAATTCTCAGTTTTTCAATTTATTAACTTTACGATACTTCAGTTTTGCTCGATTTCGATTTCTCAATTTTTCGATATATTACTGTTGGGATTTTTCAATTTATCGATTCTTCATATTTTCGGTTTCTCGAATTTCTT